AATACGCTAACTCACATGTTTGTTGCAGGATTAAAATAAACATTTAAGAGTCCCCTTTTAATCACTTCAATGTCATTCACAAAGAAGAGTTAAACAAAGAAATGATTTAAAGGTTATATAGGGAATCTCTATGTAACTTGGTTGTTTTGGATATCAGAAGGAACGTATGATGCAGTGATATACTAGCACTTGGATGAAAAGTGTAGGCTAGAGAGGGAAGTGACATAGTTAGAAAGTGAAACTCCCTCAAGCTGTTTAAACCTTTCAGATCTGAAACCATAGCCTCTCCCCGATTTAGACAGCCTCTTGTCTTGGCTCCTCCTTCTGGGACCCTAAGGCTTTCGACGTGATTAGCTGATTTGCTTTCCCTACCTAGCATGTTTATTTTTGTCTTCAAAGTTACTTGTCTAACTAGGGCTAATGGCTTTGAATCATCTGTTGATGTGGTTGTTTAGCGTGTGTCGGCACCTTGACCATGAAAGGGCACTTCCAGCAGCTTCTAATCCTGCTGCGGAAGTTGGCTGCCTGCTCTGGTTTGGCTTGGGCACCTTTAGTTCTGCAACAACTACAAATTAACAAAATTGGATAAATATCTCAGAGGATTGTTTTTTACCTGTCTATTGAAAAGAATGTGATTTCCCACCCCACCCCCCAATTTGTCTTTGCTTTTGGGATTAAAATCCAAGTAGTCCTATATTTCCCAAGGTGTAATTATTACAATTACGTATATTTATTATTACATACATACTATAATTACATTTGCACCAAATGCGAGACTACACTGGGTTCCTTCAAGATTTATAACATTAGTCAAATTTGCGTCAAGAAGAACAATATTTAACACTTATTATATATTTACAGATCCCAGGATTAAAGGATTTGATGATATCAGTCAGTACTGTTAGTATTAACTACACTCCATGAATTCACTGCAATTCACTTGTTTAATCAGAATTTTTGATATATTTGCCTAATAATTATTATGAGTGATATTCTCATGGTAATTTAAAAAATAACACCCAGATTTTAAAATTAGGTGTTAAATTAATTTAGATTCACTCTCATGATTAATTTCATGGGATTAAGCAAACCCATAGTTTTAAAGTAGTGTAAAGCACCTATGAGTTTGTTTTAGAACAGGGTTCCCTGACCTTGATATTATTGATATCCTTTGGTGGGGTGCAGGGGGTGCTGTCCTGTCCATTATAGCACATTGACAGCATCTTTGGCCTCTGCCCACTAGATGCCAGTAGTGGTCTCATAGCTCTGGTAACCAAAAATATCTCCAGATAGTCACAAATGTCCCCCACGAGTGAAATCATCCTTGGTTAAGAATCACTGCTTTAGAATATTTATTTTATATTGAAACCTAATGTATAATATCATTATATTCAAGTGTTTAATTTCTCCCAATAAATTAATTACAGTGGAGGTATAAAAACACATGGCAAAGCAGGTAGAGGGTTTTACTGGGTCAGAAAATGAGATCTTAACTTTTGAGAGTGACTTGCTTTTGGAATTTGTTAGAAAAAGATAAATTATCATGCAAGTTAGTTTTGGGACATAAATTCAGCAATATGTCAACATCTCACGTAGAGCGTTGAGAGTTACTGCTTCCAAGTTTCACGTGTATGCATCACACGAATTCACCAAAGCAACGTTCTCCTCTTCATTAAACCTGCTTTGGTCTGAATGTTTATGTGAGGGTCATGTACAATGTTGGCCTTCCAGAGGGGCACAAGGATGGGTGCAGACACCACGTTTGTGCAGAAACAGTTTAGGAAGAGAAGAGAAAATAATGCTTCCTGAGATGGACATGAGGAGACATGCAGATAAGCTATGCGGGTGGTGTAGAGTGAAGGAGAAGCTGACCAAGTTCACGTTCCAAGCTGTTCCATGCAGAGGCTCCTCCCAAAGCCCAATTTAGTATTTGTAAATTTTTACTCTTTTTCTGAAAGCCTTGTGCCACCTGTAAGACCTGGATCTGTCCCTGATCGTGGGGTTTCCAAGAGTGGAGAGAACGTGAAACTTTGGTTAGGGATGAATATATTAGCAAGGGTCTTTGAAAGATGGACATGCGTAAGTTGTCTTTGTTGCAAAAGTAGTTTGGAAACTCCGTGTGTTCATCCACTCCAAAATGGTAGATTGTGTCTCAGGGGGATGAACTGTGCCATGGCTGTCTGCTTCCCAGCCACTTCTCTTCCTCTGTACACATGGAGAACTCACAACCCCTGATAAGGGTGGGGAACATCCCCTGTCCTGTGATTTCAAATATCCTTTAGACTATGGCACAGAGGGTCAAAGGCAGAGATTTGAAAACATAATATAATGAAATACTAGTGAGCCTTGGTGCTGGGCATCTGATTAAAAGTGACAGGTGCCTTGTGTCAAAGGCAAACCCTGAGAGAAAAATGGAGAGGGTGTCCATGCACAAGATCGGGTGAGGACGTAGAGGAGAAAGAGTGCAGGGGCCATGTTGAACTGATGGGTGGAAAGGAAGCAGTGGGAGGTCCATTGTCATTTCATGTGGGCAGGGATTATCGTCAAGGACAGGGGACAAGGGGCCAGTGGGATAAACCTGAAGATGTCTGGGTGTTTTGTCATACTCCCTGGAAACCTGCAGTTATGTCTGCTTCACATCTAGGGAGGACTGACCTCAGGAAGAATCTCTCTCATTCTACCCAAACTTTGGAACGATCTTTAAAATGCACAGATTTGACTCTGCATGCTTTTGGGGCTGCTTAATTTTGAAATTCACCAAGTTTTTTTTATGGATTTTTTTGTAGCTTTAAGAGATCCTCGGTTTTATTCCTGCCCCATTTACAAGAAGCCAGTTCGAACGGACTTGAACTACATCGCCGCTGTGGACCTCAGGACGGCCCAGGTCCCTGAACACTGGGTGCTCCGTGGGGTTGCCCTTCTCTGTGATGTCAAGTAACATGGGGTGTGTCCCTACCGAAAACTTCAGAAAATGCAGGTCCGAATTACCCTAACCTTTATTTGTCCGTGAGCGCTGAACAACGTTGATCACGCAGGTTAATCGTGCAGCTAATGAGCTGTGTAGGTTTTCCCTACTCCTTAGCTGGACGCTTAATCACTTTTAACCTGTGTCATCCTTAATGACCAATCCGTGTGTTTATTGAAAAGTTATTTGGTGATTTAAAAGCAAAACTTACAACTCCCTAATGAAGTGTGGCCTGCAAATCCACAGTAATGCATTCAGGTCTAAAGACAGGGTAGGTCAAGCAGACATTTCCTTGAACGGATTATTCTTCCGCTAATGTGGTTCTGGAAACAGCCCTGTTCACTAAGGGAACAGACAGGTTTGTGCTGATTTTGCTTCTATGGCCTTTTGCATTTAGGTCAGGTTAAGAGATTTGTTTTCATAGCTCAAGCAGCCATTTGGGAAGACCTTTTAAAAAAATGGAAGGAAGTAGATGATTGGGTTAAGAATGTGAATCGATGAATAGACAATTCATGTAATCCTAGAGAATAAACATATAGAATGATGTTCAACTCCAATGATAATTAATAATGAGATACTGATATTTGTTATAATAAAAAATATGAAGGCTGGAAGTGACTTGTGGTGAGGTCTTTGTAAAAGTGATATGCTTAGAGATTCCTAGAGCGATGGAAATCAACCCGTTCTTTTTGTAAAATAATTAAATATCCAAGCACAGAAAGAGCCATAAAAATGTTCATATGCTTTGAGTCTTATCTTCTCTCCTGGAAATCTATACCAAGAAAACAATTGAAGAGGCTGCAGTAATTTATATAGCAAAATACATTTAATAACAGAAAACAGTGAGAGCACCCTACGTGTTCAATACCAAGTCTATAGTTACAGAAGTAGGGGATGTGAGGCAGCCACGATAAACAGGATCAAAGCTTTCTTAGCATGGAAATGGTAAACATGTAGTATGAGGTTGAAGATACACCTCAGAAAATATCGGGTTGACTTGAAATGGTGTAATGATTGGAAGACCAGGCAAAGAATAGAAGTCAGTTGGTGTGGGGGCCTTTTATTAATAAAGAAAATACTATCTGTGGAACTCTTCATATGTTTTTATTTTAAATCCTGGTTGTGAATTATAAACTGCTTCATCTATAACTTATTGACTAGAAAACTTGGTCAGAATTAAATTAGAGCGGTGGTCTGCAAATGATTGCTTAAATTCACATCTAACTTTGTGTTTCTGGTGATAAACCATTTTATAGGAAGGAGGGGCTGCAAGGAAGCAGGTGTGGGTCCCTCTCATTTTATGTTAATTATGGTCAGAGCTAGGCCTGGGGGGTTCATGGAACCCCACCCATCTTGGACAATACTCTTTTCATTTGAGCAGCTTCAGGTGGTCTGAATTACTATATACTAGTTGATTGTGGGAATTGTGGTAAAACAATCATTTTATTTTGAAGAACAAATAATAAGATGTAGAAATGATGTGAATTAATAAAGAGCTGTTAATGAATGTCAAAATTATAACTGCTCTTTCTCAGCCAGGGAGCAAGTGCCATTGCGTATCCAGAAATAAGGTTTCAAAATGAGGTTTCTTATCAAGTTAACTTGTTGAAAATGCATAATTCATCTAATTCTGTGAAACGAAATTGTTGGTATGTATGTACAAGTCTTTGAGACCCAAAGTGGGAAAGGACACCATGGAGACAACTAGAAATTTTGGGGGACAAATTCAATAAGAAATGTTGCTGAAGAAGTGAAGAGCCAAGGATGCCCCTTTCCACACCACCTCAGGCTCTCACCCTGCAGCTCCCACCCACAGAAGGTTCTCGGCTTCTACTGAATTGGGTGTGGGGCAAGAGAACCAACTCATTGATTCTTCCCGGTGATGGGAAGAGTCGCCAACTGCTTGCGTGAGCGCAAGAAAGAAAACAACACGCAGTGAGGGTACGGGTGTCATTGCCGAGTCTTTGTCATCATCTCAGTATTGATTTACTTAAAAAATTACTTCAGTGTGTCTGATTCTTGTGTGTCAGGAACAATGGTGGGGAAAAAAATGCCCACATTCCCTGACGTAAGAGGACTAGACACAGAAAATAAGCGACTATTCAGGTATGTAACTTTACATGATCTCAACGTATGAATGTATAGTATGACACATGTAGGAGATTCATAGAGGGACATATAGAGATTGGAGTTCTGCACTCCAAAGGAAAATGCCGGGTGCTAGGAGCGAGGGAGACCACAGCCATTCAGGTGTCACAGATTAGTAGGCAGAAGCCACACTATAGCATCACTGTTTAACAGAAGACACCAAGAGTACCAGCAGCAAGGAACTCCCCTGAGCCAAAGCAGCTACTTACAGAGGCCGAGAAAATTAAGGCCATCCCACCTTGAGTTTAGCATTAGCACAAGTATAGCCATCTTAGCTTCGGCAGCCATCTCAGGCCCCTGTGACCAAGGGCTGAACTTTCCCCTACTTTACTTTAGTTCCAGGGACCCCCACCCTGCTTTAGTAACAGGAATACCTAAACCTGTAAACACTTCCAGGAAAAACCACTATAACTAACCCTGTAAACACTTCCAAGAAAGTACCTAACTCTGTAAACAGCCCAGCAACAGCTAATCAGCTTACTGCAGAAAAGTCTGAAACTTCTCCCCACCCCCCCTCTTGTAATGACCCATAAAAACCCCTGTCTTAACTAGCGTCGGGGTCCAAGTCCCTACTCTGCTGTGTCGGGTATACTTGGGCCCAAGCTTAAGCTTGTCAAATAAACCCTCATGTGATTGCATCGGTGTTGGCTCCTTGGTGGTCTCTGGAACATGAAAACTTGGGCATTACACTGCTGTCTGGTTTTTCTTGGTCCCCTGGTTCTCTTGGGCAGGGGGCAGGTATTGGTGACTCTCTTGACGCAAATGAAGTCCTCTCAGAATTGAGACAAAAGAAAACACTTTGCCACATCAGAACTGTCCTGATGTGTGGGGATTTCCACTTACCTCTCTCTCCTCTGAGCTTCTCTTTAAGGGAGCATTGGCAAGCATCCAACCCATTCAGCAGCAGCAAGGCCAGGTCCCTATCAGGGGACGTGGCAAAGCCACAGCCCAGGTGTTCTTGAGCAACCTCTCTACCATGGGTGGTTTCCCTACGGAGACCTCATGTGACTGGGCCCTAAGGAAGGGCATCTCTGGAGAGGTGACATCTACGTTTAGATCTGAAGGACAAAGGAAAACCTCTCCCACCTGCCAGTACTGGGGAGTCTTCTCTTGCTTCCTAATGAGAGGAAGTGAGCACAGGAAGGGTGACAGGAAACCCAGCCTGGAGTGGGAGGGCTGAGGAGGGCTGCTTCCTAAATGGAATTTCAAACCTTGCTTGACTGCTGCCGGCTATAGAGCAGTGGCCCGTGGAAATCCTGTGTTCCCAAGTCACTAGAGTGAGAAGCACTTCTTGGTGTTAAACGCTATTTGTGATAGAAAAGTCTTGTCAAGAATTCGACAGTAGGAGACAGGATGAGGCAAATCACGAGTGTTATGTAGTTAAATGGCTTGCAGGAGTCTCCAGTACAGACAAAATGCACGGCATTGGCGATATCTTTATTAGTGATAAACTTGCGCTCGAAGGTGTAGAATTACAAAAAAAATTGATATGTTACCCTATGCTGATAATGTAGTTGACAGATTTTTTTGCAGCACAGAAACCTTTAGTAATGATAAGAGTAAGAAAATATATACATGAGTAGTTTTCTCTTAGAAGATATAATTTCCACTCCCACCCAGATCTGCAACATATTTTTTTCCTATGTCAGACCCTGCTGAAGTGCATAATTGCTTTTACATTTAATTTTATTCATTTTAAAAATTAAATTTAAAATTTTTTCAGTGTTCCAGAATTCATTGTTTATGCACCACACCCAGTGCTCCATGCAAAACGTGCCCTCCTTAATACCCACCACCAGGCTCACCCCTCCCCAAACCCCTCAGTTTGTTTCTCCAAGTCCACAGTCTCTCATGGTTTGTCTCTCCCTCCAATTCCCCCCAACTCCCTTCTCCTCTCCATCTCCCAATGCTTTTACATTTTAAATACTTTTCTCTTGCAAGTGCTCAGAGTGATTTTTAAAAATTATATTGTGTAACTGATGACGTTGATGGGAAGCCCTCAGCAGCCCATCAAAATAATACCTCTTAAGGGTAAACAAATGGTCTACTTCTATTCACAATATGGTCCTCCAGATTGGGCGAATGCTTTGGAAGACCAATAAACAAATCAGTAGCTTGTGAAAACACGAGGACATCTAGTAGTTTCGGCTGGTAATTTTTGTGGCTTTTAGTTGTAGTAATTTTTGCAGTTTATGCATTCTGGTCAATTGACTGACATCTGTCGTATCCAGAATGTGCATTTGAAGAACCCTCATATACCACCACGTTGAAGAAGAGGAGAGAATTCGAGGTCAACTTTAGAATCAGAGAGGAACTTGGCTAAGACCCTGAACCCATGAACGCATTCTTTTTTTTTTTTAAAGATTTTATTTATTTATTTGACAGATCATAAGTAGGCAGAGAGGCAGGCAGAGAGAGAGAGGGAAGCAGGCTCCCTGCTGAGCAGAGAGCCTGACGTGGGGCTCGATCCCAGGACCCTGAGATCATGACCCGAGCCGAAGGCAGAGGCTTTAACCCACTTAGCCACCCAGGCGCCCCCCATGAACGCATTCTTATTTATCTTAAATGGTGAGTTCCATTCTGTGTTGCATGTGAAAACCAATGAACTTGACCGAGGCAAGAGCAGAATGTGTTGTCGACCCAATCTGTACCCGAGGGCCTTTCCTGGTTCTGTTTATCAGGCTGGAAAAGCCATACAGCAGAGCAGCCCAATAGACAGTACTTATGGGATGGATCCTACTCTCTCACCTGGATGAGAAGACATGAAAAAATAGAGATTCAGTGCGAAGGAAGGAACCTGGGGGTGGGATGAAGTATCCTGAGTGGGGCGGGGTGGTGGGTAAGTAGGAGGGTCAGGTTTGTTTACAGACACTGCTAGAATGCAATTATTAGCAGTAATTCTGGTGATCAAGACAATGAACGAGTAAATGGCCCTTTAAAAATTTGCTTTTTTTATCCCTTGGATTTCAAAGGTTTCATTACAAAATGCCAGTGGTATTATGATCTAACGTTAGAATTTCAGGACCTCGAGGGGTAGACTCTGAGATTTTTTAAAAGTCCTATCGGGCGCCTGGGTGGCTCAGTGGGTTAAGCCGCTGCCTTCGGCTCAGGTCATGATCTCAGAGTCCTGGGATCGAGCCCCGCATCGGGCTCTCTGCTCTCTCGGGGCTTTTAGGTTTCCTTCATTAGCTCTGGGGGAAAGGGAACAGTAGAATAGGATCTCAGAGTACAAACTAGAATACGTATCTTGCTTTTGAAAAACACTGTGTTGTGTTATTATTACAAAAGCAACTCCTGTTCTTTATGGAATATACGCATAGAGAGCCTCAGCGGGGCTTTTAGGTTTCCTTCATTAGCTCTGGGGGAAAGGGAACAGTAGAATAGGATCTCAGAGAACAAACTAGAATACGTATCTTGCTTTTGAAAAACACTGTGTTGTGTTATTATTACAAAAGCAACTCCTGTTCTTTATGGAATATACGCATAGAGAATCCTGGAAATGAACACTAAAAGTATTTGCTCTTTTTCGTTTCCCATCTGAACATCTTCCTTGCTTTACATATATTTTAAAAATATATGTAAAATATAACATTTAAATACATAACATAATTCAATGTATACTGTTTATAAATTAAATTTTTAACTTAGTAATATGAATATTTTCTTGGTTATAAAAATCTTTATAAGGTAATTTTAATGGCTTCAGAGTATTCTTATTCATGGGTACACCATAATTTATTTAAATGTTTCTCTATCATTAGACGTTCAGCATATATAACATAATTATATATTATGTGTAACATACATATATGTTATAAATGAATTTCCAGTGACTGGTCCTATAGCTAAATCTTTATCTGTCCCCACTGTTATTTCATACATACACATTTTTACAAGTAGCATTAGCAGTTGTCTTAAGAAGGAGGAAGACCATTTGTGTTTAAGAATGGAGACTTGAGTGGCAACAGCGTGTGGAATTCTGGTTCAAGGTCTTTTACTGATGCACAGAGCACCAGAGAGGGACCTGCTGAGTTAGGTGTCACTGGGATCTGTGAGCGAACCTCAGAATAGCACAATCTGAAGATAATATAAAGTTTCACTTCAAGTCAAAGGAGATGTGCACTTACATGAAGCATTAATGATGCAAGAACTTTAACAGAAGAAATATTCCTGATTTTCAAGTAGGATATGGATTTTACTTTTTCTTGTGCTATGTATTAGTAAGTATGCTTGTATTTTGTCTCTATTTTTCTTTATAGGGAAGTCATAAATGACGCAAATTTCTATTATCTCTTGCTTATTAACACTCGGGGAGAGTGTGACCTGTGGGCTCAGTACCCCACGTAAAGGTTTAAGAGCTGGGCTTTGGCTAACACAGGCACAAAGGAATTGAATTTTATGCTTCCTGTGAGATAAATGGCTCACAGGTCTCAGAAGGGCAGATAATATATAATGGTTTAAAATTATATTCCTCAGCCAGAGGCCATATTTTTCTGAACAGAGTTTTCTTCTGATTCTGGCCTTTTTTTAGACCTTGCTTGAGGACGCGGAGCGCTGCAGGCGGAAGACGCAGACGGCCTCCGCGCTGATCGGGGGCTTGGCGGGAGAAAAAGAAAGATGGACGGAACAAAGCAAAGAGTTTGCTGCACAAACAAAAAGACTTGTAGGTATGTAAATTCCTGTATTAATCAGATTATGTGTTGACTCTGTTAGGGCGTTAGGAAACTGAAACTTCTATCAGAATACAAACCAACCCTCTAGTCCTTCAAATTCCTGTGTATGTGTGTCCAGATTTTTCAGAAGGATGAATACGGGTCTGGCATCTGTGCAGCCCTTATTAGATAGATGTGCTATTGACTTTCAAAGGGTCACTTTCAAATTTTCCTGTGAGTGAATGGTCTTACTGATCAAGGTCACCTTGGAATGGAGGCTCTGTCTTCTCAGGATTTGCATCCCTTAAGCTCCAAAGTCATACTCTCACATCCAGCGAGAGTCAAAATAACCTAGTTGTTGATGCCTGGCAGGTGTTACTTGGTGGACCATTTGGACCCTGTTTAACGATGATCTACTGCTTATTTACCAACACATAGCAACATGTGGTCACGGTCTGGTTTCTGGAAGTTAGTTTAAAAGAGTGGTTGCCTTTAGAATATGTTTAATATTCTGCACAATTACAAGGCTGATTATAAAGTATTTCAGTGGCATTTTGTTTTCTGTTTTAGGGGATGTATTGTTGGCTACAGCTTTTCTATCTTATTCTGGTCCATTTAACCAAGAGTTTCGCAGTCTGCTGCTCAATGACTGGCAGAAGGAAATGAAAGCCCGGGAAATCCCGTTTGGAGACAATCTAAATCTCAACGAGATGTTGATTGATGCTCCCACTATTAGTGAATGGAACCTCCAAGGTCTGCCCAATGACGACCTGTCCATTCAGAACGGAATCATTGTCACAAAGGCATCTCGCTATCCTTTGTTAATTGACCCACAGACTCAAGGGAAGATCTGGATTAAAAACAAAGAAAGCCAGAATGAACTCCAGGTAACTTGTGTTTGAGTCCATTCATGCTACCGAGAAGTTTTATTGCCACAGATGAACAAGAGTCTGAGAAGTAAGAAATATTTGAAAATAGTAGTGATTGTAATCCTTGATAGAACAGTAACAGATGCAAGCCTAAACTCTAATATTAAAATCTTTTCTAAAAATTGTGTTTACATTTGTATGGATCTCTACTAATGCCATCTTTTGAAGGTTTCAGATTCCCCTGTTAGAGCCTAAATCCTTCCTTGATGAACAGAGCAGGGTGGAGTTGTACCACACCATGTGTGTAGCAATGTACTAGGACGCTTCGTGATTATTCCATTATTATTTGTCATAAAAGTGGTGGTGATGAGGAGAAGACAGGTTGCACTGGGGAATGACAGTTTGCAAAGGAAAAGGATGGAAACAGTTTAAGCTTGCTGTACAATCTCACCCACTGTGGGTTCCAGATAAGGTTCTCTAAAGATCTCCATATTTGTGTTCCATGTTAGAATGCTCAGGTGCCATTTAATGTCTGTTCTCTCTGTGTGTGACATCGTGATATTGTCAACAGCAACCTTTGGGTCTTGTTTCTAGATCACCTCTCTCAATCACAAGTATTTCAGAAACCATCTGGAGGACAGTCTTTCTCTTGGAAGGCCCTTGCTTATTGAAGATGTTGGGGAGGAACTAGATCCAGCGCTGGATAATGTTTTGGAGAGGAACTTCATTAAGACTGGGTCTACCTTTAAGGTAGGTTAAACCTATTGATAATAATGTGTGGAACCATTAGCACGAGGCCAGGTAAATGTGACATAGACATAGATGAAATTTTCTCATTAGGCAACAACTGAAATTTGAGTCATTGGAAGAGACATTTGCTTTTCTTTTCTATACTTCCTGAGTTGGAATTAAAGTTTTTAAGAGCAGTCCTTTTAGAAATATCTACTTCTTTTGTGTGATAGAATCTGACTCCATTTTGATGATCGACTGTGGGGACATCTTTCAAAACCCATCATCACCTTCACCCTCCCCTCCTGTCTCAAATCTGGGCAAGCTGATAAGAAAACGTGGGGCTTTTGCCTTTGACTATGGTGGGAAAATCAAACCATACAATCCACTATTGATGCCCTGTGTGGGAACCTTTATCCCAGCCCAACCTCCTAATCACCATAAAACCCGAAGACAGCTACTTTTCCTTACTCTCTCAATCAGTTTTTGGGACTGGTTGGGGACCTATAACTTTAATCTCTCCAGAAATCTCATTATGTGAGTAATAACATTTTTATACCCTTTTGGTACATATGTGATGTCATCAGTCTTGATCTCTGAACCAAATTTTGGATGGGTTATCCATCTCACTTCTGTGGTATGATCACACCAATTTTGGTGCTAAATTCTAATTTATGGTATATATTGGCATACATTGAACTTCCTCCCTCCTTCTCTCCCTCCCTCCCTCCCTCCTTTCCACCTACCTTTCTTCCTTTCATCCTAGTGGTTTGAAGCACTGTGAATGCCTAATGATGAATTCTTTTTCAGCATACAAAGATCTCCAGTTATATAATTACTTAAAGCAATGCTTGATCCTGTGCAGAAAAGGACACAGTAAGGTGTATGCCTGTTTTATTACTTTTGACTTTATTTTTATAATAAAGGTGAAAGTTGGTGATAAGGAAGTAGACGTGATGGATGGCTTCAGACTCTACATCACCACCAAACTGCCCAACCCAGCCTACACACCCGAAATAAGTGCTCGGACCTCTATCATTGACTTCACTGTCACCATGAAAGGTCTGGAAGATCAGTTACTGGGGAGAGTCATCCTCACAGAGAAGCAGGTGAGTGAAGTGTGACCACCTCCTTTTCGGCATTGTGTTGCGATTCTTTCATTGACGAAAATAATATGATAAAAGTTTTAATAGGATTAAGGCCCCCCTGCCTTTTATTTCTGTGTTTTTTTCCCATTATTCATTCCCAGGTGTCTTGGGTAATTACTAACCGATTACCCTCTATGTTTCATCTGTCTCATAAATCATATATATCCATTGATTTTGTGGAGCCTAATGATGGGACTATGAGAATATCAGTCTCATGCCCGGCATCATTATTCTGGTCTTACATTGCTTCATTTTTCTGAAGAGTTTGCATGGTCGTGAGTTCTGTTTGTCTGTTGACTTTTAGGTTTCTAGGATACAGCTAGGTTTTTCTATCATTCAATTCATTATTATGCTTCTGGAGTATAAAATTAAGACTAGTGACTTCAAACCCCTGGGATTAAAAACAGCTAACAGACAACATCCTCAAGTCTTATTTGTTGCCTACGAGAAAGCTTCGTGTATGTTGTGACAAGACAGACATTTGTGACTCTGGAACCTCCCTGAGCACCTTCTGGAGGCTCTGGCTTGGTCATGTATCTGTTTTCTCTACTTCTATTTGGTGGGATAACTTAATGATTGATAAAAAATAGCCAATAATTTATAAACCTCCTTGTTTTGAGTCACTGTTGCCTCTAGGGAACATGTGAGTCTTAAAGAAATCTAGAGGATTAATAAGACTGTTTTGGTAGAACTGCATGAACTCTAAGAGTTGCTATTGATTTTCTCCAGGAGCAACGAGGAGTCTACTTTATTTTGTAGCCCCCTTTTAGACTGACTTCAAGATTTATTTAGGTTAAAACCTTTGGCAAAATCTTTGGAATTTGTCCTTCCCGTGATTTTGAAAAAACATTTTTTGTGTGTGTGCTTCATGCTTGGTCTTGGGAGTCCTTCTATATGTTTATCTCTTGCTTCTTCATCACTTCTCCCCCTCCCCCCTTTCCTTTTTTATGGATAGTCTCTTTTTATTTTTTAGTTTATAGTGCATGAATCATAGAGTCCTATGGTTGGAAGTTTTATTAGGAGCATTAAGTCTGACTTTGTAGATTCACGTAGTTAGTGACCTCAGAATGCCAGGAACTGAGGCCAGAGTTCCTACCACAGACTTGCTGCTGAAGTAATAGCAGCCTTCAGAATACACGCTTCTTTATTTTGTGAGTCTGAGTCAAGCTGGTTGAGGAAGCCTAGCACTGCCATATCCTTACTTAGGAAGGACTGGGATTCTTCATCCGCCACATGCAATGTCGAGCAGGGAATCCCTGAGAGTCTTTGGGGCAGCGGCCATTACCCGTGTGTTAGGCTCTGCTTTCACCTGTGGTGTTGTCTTCCAGCAGATAAGGAGTCCCAGCAGCAGTTTGAAACATAGGCTTGTCTTTGGTTTTCTTACGTTCGCTGAGATGAATATAGTTTCCTTGGAAGAAATAATTTGTTCTGACAGATTTTATTTGCAGCAAAACAGCTCCAGCACTGAAGCCGTAATTGTTCAAACAGAAGTTTAAGAGGATGCGAGGGGCACTTTAAACTCCTTTGGAAAGGCTTTCAACAGCCTTGAAAAGCCAATGTGGATCCCAGGCTGGGCTTTTGCTTACCCCCCAGGAAAGTGTCTTGAGTGTCTTGAGAAAACTACTCCTTTACTGTTGTCTCATGATCAGAATCCATTCCAGGCTCCGAGTAGATAATTCTTGGGAAAAGTATGGCCATATGAATGGGACCCTCACTCTCTTAGAGTATTAGAGGGTCCTCTTACCCTGAAGCACGTGATTAGACAACACGTAACCTGTATTTTCTTCCCTCTAACACAAGGTCTCATGCATGAAGTGAGCTGTTGAACTTACTTTCGACGGCTGTTCAGTAATATACATCCTGCAAGTATATTTCTTTTCTTTTGTAGCATCTCGTCTTCCCACCACACTCCTGAATTCACTCACATTGTTAAATTGCCTTAGCCTGGATGGTGGCAAGTGGGTCTGAGTTGATCTCTGGTGCTTTCTGGAAATTGAGTAACTCATTTGAAAAGAGCCTACAGGTTCAAAAAGTGTTCCTTTGACTTCCGTGACAATGCAATCTCTCTGACTATGATCTCTTCTTAGGTGATTACTGTGTATACGCCATCAGTATAACATGCTGTTCAGAGCCAAGGGTGGGTATTGAAAGCAGGGAAGACCCCGCATAAGAAGCTGGTGTTGGAAAGCATCTAAGAAATTCCCTAACACATGAGCTGAAACCAGGTGTGGGTTCTCTGCAGTCAGGATGAATCCACCTTTACCGGTCTGTCGGTTCTTCTTCTGAAAGGTGGCTGGGAACAATGACTTATGATGCCAGGGAAAGGCTGTTTTTCTCTGAATCCATAAATTCACCAGCTGTCCAGTGTCTTGGAGATACTGGCAGTGAGGAGCCTTGTTATCACATGGGATCTGGTCTCGTCAGTGCTCTGCTGTATACACTGCTGGCTCTCGGGGTTTGCTTCCTTTCAGAAACAGATGCAAACCTCAGAGCACAAGAATGCAGGGAAGGCAGATTTTTAATGATTCTACATTTTCTGTGTGCTGCAAAGCAGTCATTTTAAATGTGTGAGCTGTTCAAGGTCACATCAAGGCCATATTCAATTGCTGACCCGATGTACCTGTGAGTAGATGTAGGCAGCCTGCTGTTGTCACCAGAAGGCAAGGTATCAAGACCATTTTAAACAGGCAGCAAACCAGTAGTTCTCTAGCAACTATCCTTAAAAATTTTTTTTTCTTAGATTCACTCTTATCTTGATCCCAGAGAACAAGACAGAAACTCAAAGAGAGCTATATACTATTAGGGGAAAAATACTAATCTAGATTAACAGCTTCTACTGATCACACAACACAAGGCCTCAGGGGTCACCTTGTTCAAAATCCCAGAGGAGCCAACAGATGTGTGATTTCCTTTGGGGGTGGAAGCACCCAAACTTGGTGGATCCAACAGAAGAAATAATTTAATGAGGATCCTTAAACAGATGTCGTTATCACCAGCTCATCGGTATAGAGAAAAAATAAATCTGAATGCTATTGTTTAATCTTTCTATTTTAATTGCCATGTAAGGTACAAAAGGGAAGGATCCTTGGATGAAAGCCTGGGTGATCTCTTAGAACTGAGAACTCTGAAAGGCTGTCACCTGTTTCCTTTTACTGATTTCAAAACCGTAGTACAGATGCAGCTGAGGTACACAGATAACTTTAGTTGTCATTTGCATCTTTGTTGAGCTACTTAATTTTTGATCACTTGATTAATAAATAGTATGTTTCCTGAAATTGTTCTGAATCACTACTGCACTTTCTTACCCACTTTGGGGATATTTTTCATATTATCACAGTTTCTATAAAAAATTTACATGGCAGCCTTAGTAAATAGAATACATAGCACAAATGTTTACGTGTGTGTGTGTGTGTGTATGTGTGTGTGTTGAGGTAATCCCTTTGATGGGAAAATGCTTATAGACAAAATGATTTTGATTATTTTGCTCCTTATTATTAATTTCAAAAAGAACTATCTTCTTATAGCTTGGGGGACCTAAAGTCATAGTTCAACAGAACGATGTTTAAATCAGCCATACACGTGAGCATATGCTGAAAACCTTATCCCAAAATAGGTTTTCTATTTTAAAATCCTGAATGAAAAGCAAGTTGCAGGGGTGCATGGGTGGCTCAGTTGGTTAAGCATCGGCCTTCTGCTCAGGTGGTGATCTCAGGGTCCTTGGATCCTAAGATCGAGCCCTAAGCCTTGCTTGGGGCTCCCTGCTCAGTGGGGCGTGAGCTTCTCCTTCCCCCCACTGCTCCTATCCTCTGCTCATGCTCGATCTCTGTCAAGTAAATAAAATCTTAAAAAAAAAAAAAAAAGAAAAAGAAAAAGAGAAGCAAATAGCTGTTCTGTTTTCATTCAGAGATAACTTTCTTTTTTTCCATAACTCTTGTCCCATTGTAGTGATTGGCTATTTACCCACTATTTAGTATACAGATTGCTTTCATAATTCCCAGTTGCTTTAAATTATACTGTTTACTTTAGGGGATATTATTTTATCAGTTTCAGACTTTGGGAGAAATGCACTTCTTAGCCTCATTTTAATCCTTTAGGAATATAGGCAGTTACTTTAATTGACAGATTTGTTGGTGTTAACAATGATATTGAACTGACTCCAACCATCTGAATAGTGTTCAAGCTTTTACTTGCTATTTTTAAAATCAGGAACTGGATGATTTGCCCCTTTGTATACATTATATTAACTGTTTATTTTGTGATAAACAGTTTTCGTGAGTAACATGTGATTAACAGTTTTCGTGAGTAACATGATTTTAGTACTGATTTTGTAGTTCTCAGGCGGAGATGAGACTGGAAGTGTAGGTTTTATGTCTTGTAAACTATGTTGAGAATGTTGGACCTTTCAAAACAGCTGAGAGAGATCCCCAATAGTCTAGGAGCAGGAAAGGGGGTGATGACAGAGAAGAGGGTCAGCAGGGGGACCAGTTGTAGTGAGACTAGTCCATGAGGAATAACTAAAGGCTAAACCAGGGCCCTGGCTATTGGGATGGAGGGAAAACTATGGTGCTGGAAGAATCTGTAAGACTCGGTACAGTTTGGGATTTGACAGCCCATGTTCTCGTCCCAGAAGACACGAGACCATGCATCCTTAACATAAGTACAAGATTGGAAAGTTCTCTTTTGTCCCATTTCAGCCACTTTATTAGGCTATTATAATGATTTGTGAAATTCTGAAGTAGGGTTTATTTTGTGCCAACCTATAATTTTATTTTCCAAACTGCTTATTTTCCCAATAACTATTATAATGCTTCTGAAAAATCCATGCTTGGGAAGAGTCGAAGAAGGGGAGAAAAGGGAGAGAGATGTCTTTTGAGCAGTTATCATGATTCAGTTTCTGTTGTAGCTGCTTTACTAGTTATATCCTGACAATCACTGTCTGAGCTGTTACTATATCCATCTCACACATAAGGAAACTGAGGCTCTAGGATTATATAATACGGCCAACACCATGCAGCTGATAGATCCTGGGGGCTGCGATTCAAACACATGTCTTCCTGATGTCAAAACCATCATTCTCCCTATGGCTTTACGTTCTTTCCCTTACCTGTCTTCTTCAAGAGGTGAGGATATTTAGACCGATACTTAGGATATTTAGATAGATATTTAGGAACTCAGACATGATAGTGATAGTGTGGGAAATGTGGGAATATGACAATAAAAAATACTTGAATTTTTCCCTTAAACTTTATTACTTCATTTCTTAGCGTAAATGTAGCGTAAGTTCTCTTTTTTAACAGCAGCTTATGGAGAGGAATTTTGCAGGTGTCTTAGATGTCACTTTCTGTACTCGTTTTTTTGTTGGTTTGTTTGTTTTTTACATTTTCTCAAATTTGAGATACTTATCTGGTGAATAAGTGAAATGAAAACAACCATGAAGGAAGCTTTTCAATGTAACCTAGTAAAAGGAAGCAAAGGCGATAAAGGCAGGTTGTGCTGGAGTTGCTTTGTCTCCAAGAGTTAAGCAAGTTCTGAGATTTTGCTCAAAGCCTGGTAGGGTTCTACCCATCATAACTGTTGGGTCAACGGTGATTAGTTGGCTAGAACATAACGCAGTGGCCAGTGGCCTTTGTTCTTTGTCTTCATGCAGTTTTGTTACTACCACCTTTATGTTAGATCTGTGGTTTTCAGTTACAGCCACTGGGCTTTGTGCTGCCTTTGTCTTGTTCTCTGTCACGGCCATGCCCTCTTTCTCCACCCTCCCCAGTTCCGTCCTTTTTATCCTTCTGTTCCACAGACTCTCCCTCTCCAAACCACCATGATGAAATAGCCAGTAAGGACAATAACCTTCCAAAACCATTCTCTCCCCAGCTGTTTAAAAAGATCTTTCAGGAAAGATCTAGAACTTTCCTTCTCTTGGAGAGAATAGCACCTTTTCGGGCCGAAAACAGTTTCCCATTTAAAGGTACTAGCAGCAGCCATGTGGATTGTTTGCCTAAGTTTTTTGGACGCTTGCTTTTCAGGGGATTGGATACCATTTCAACCAGCAAGTTGACAATAATCACATTCAGACAACAACAGAACTCTTATAAACAAAAACTAAACAGAAGAAAATGTATTTAATCCAAGAGATCGATATGCATATTCAAATATATTCCAATATATTCTCAACTATTTTTCACCTTCAAAACAAGCTTACATATAATCCCAAAAGTCACTTAAAATGATTTGACTTTAGGAAATAGATAGATGGTCCAGGGATGTTGGTAGTGTTTTTAGCAAATTTCTTGTTATTTGCCATCCATTCTTCCTTCTTCCATTCATTCTCCTCCTCTTCTTAATTTGATGTATTTTCAGCAGTCCAGTATGATAACTATAGTGGAGGAAGGCAGCCCCATAGGTTAACTTTTTCAGGAATGGCCGAACAATAGCTGTTAATTAAGGAGGAAAATATCTTTATGCAAATTCACAGGAATTGGAGAAAGAGAGAACTCATCTCGTGGAGGAGGTAACTGCAAACAAAAGAAGGATGAAAGAGCTAGAAGATAATTTGCTTTACCGGCTGACGAGTACCCAGGGGTCCCTGGTGGAAGACGAGAGTCTCATTGTTGTGCTGAGTAACACAAAAAAGACCGCGGAAGAGGTGACACAGAAGCTGGAAATTTCGGCCGAGACAGAAATTCAAATTAACTCAGCCCGGGAGGAATACAGACCTGGTAAGTTTGGTAATGAAAGACAAATGTCACGGGAAAACGAAGTGAGAAAAAACCCGAACATCGGAGAAATTAAAGGAACGAAGGACATTAATGAAAATGGTGGCACGAGGAGGGGTGGCCGTTCACGTTTTGTGGCGTCACTTTGGGAGGCATTCGGTAAAACTGAGATGAAAAAAATTTGCAATGGTGTACATTTTCTAGGTGCTTACCGTTCCTGTGAGTTGGCAAATTCTTTACACTTAGAAAGTAAAGAGGGAGGATTTTTAAAGAACGTCTGACAACTGTTTCAAAATCTGAGGAGTCAGTGCAGCATTTATGGGCTGTTCACTAGTTTTTTATCATTTGGTAGCAATCAGCCAGTATTCTGTTTGCAGTCTTTGTATTAGGAAAGTAGCTCCTTGGTCTCACCGGAGGGCTTGAGTCTTACCCATAAATTTGCAAATCAGTGTTGTTTACGGGTTACAAGAGGGACCTGCTGAAAGCATTGTTTCCTTTAGAAATATATCATTCTTCTTGGAGAAATAATCAAAGCGGCATCACGTGCTGGCGGCGAGTGAGAAGCATCATCGTTGCCATGCCTTGTTTTGCCAACCTGAGGCGACACGTGATTGGGGCTTCCTCATGGAGCAGAGGCATGAGATGCATAAGATGCCCACACAATTTGCCGGGCGTCACAGTTTTTAGTTTCCCATCGATTGCCTTTTCTGCCAATGAAAAAAGAGAGTAAAGTATGTTCATAAGAGATCTGGAAGTTCTAACATGGAAAATTCCACTTGATAAACACCAACAACAGACTGCTTACACAAAGCTTATGAATAAGAATTAATTTATACATCATGCGCCTTGCTCCAGACTCCCAGTGCTGGTAGATAGTCATGGATAAAACAAAAATAAGACCCGTTTTCATTTAGAGTTTAAGCTGGTCTGTGCACGGGTCATTCACTGTCCAGCCCCAGCACATGCAACCTTCTTTGTTTTTCAGTGGCAACGCGAGGCAGCATTCTGTATTTCCTCATCACTGAGATGCGCTTGGTCAATGAAATGTATCAGACCTCGCTCGGCCAGTTTCTTGGCTTGTTTGACCTTTCCTTAGCCAGGTATGTCTGTACTCAGGAAACCAGGCTGAATTTTCTATCTGCGGGCTCCAATGATGACCTTATAACTTCTTTTCCTTTTGCTACTGAGTCTTTTTTTCTTTTTTTTTAAATCTAAGCCGAGTGTAATTACCAGCATGTTAACACATCATTCTCATAAATCCTCTTACGCTCAGAGTCAGCTCTACCGACTCTTCATCCATAGATTGATTCCTTGGGTTTCATCTATTTCTGTTAAACAAGAGAATTCCCAAGACCTTGTTATGAGTGATAATACCCTGCGGGTAAAATTGATTTAGACAACATTGCAGATTCTGTTGTGTTATTTTATGTTGAGAGAATGCTTGTTATTTTCTATTTAGGATGCTTATTCTTATGCGTAAAAAAGAACTGGCCCTCCAAAGTTACCTGTGCTCCGTTAAAGACATTTTTATGGGCAATGGAAAAGGGGAGTGGGATAAGCCTGATTTAAGTCTGGTTCTCTCCACCAGGTCTGTCAAAAGCCCAATTACGAGCAAGAGGATTGCTAATATCATTGAGCATATGACCTATGAGGTTCATAAGTATGTGGCCCGGGGCTTGTATGAAGAACACAAGTTCCTGTTCACCTTGCTGCTCACCCTGAAGATCGACATCCAGAGGAACCGAGTCAAGCATGAAGAGTTTCTCACCCTTGTTAAAGGTCAGTATAACAATAGAAAGGTCCAGCTGTAGGAATGACTTGAAGGTGCAGAGCAGCACTTTTTTTTTTTTTTTCTCTAACGGTTGTCTTGCATTTCACTGAAGGTTGCCTATATGTGCAATATTTTATGTGTTCGGTTATTGCATAAATATTTATGGAGAGCCTCCTGTGTGCTGAGTCACAGACTAGACATTAGGCACATCATGAAACAGTAAATTATGTAGTATGTGGGAAGCTAGTAGGCACGATGGGGAAAAGAAACGGAGCTTGATAAGGGAGGTGGGGAGTGAACAGTGTATGCAGAGTTGGTGGGGGCAGTTAAAATATTAAATGGAGTATTTAGTGGGATACCTAATGGGGTAAGCCTCCCTGAGAGATGGACAGGTGAACAAAGGCCTGGAGGGGATGGGGGCACTGGCCCTGGGGACAGGCAGAGGGAGAGTGTCAAAGGGAGAGGAATGGGCATCAAGGTGCTGGTTGGGGCAAGCCTGGTGTGACAGAGGCAGAAGCCGCGGGCGGGGCAGTTGTGGAGCTCATCCTCTCGGTGTTTTTTCTGTATCTGTTGAAGAATTGCTCACAGGCAGGTCCCTTGTGCAACTGCACACTACAGCCCAGGGAAGGCTAGGAAACACATTTGCTGTCACATTCTTGAATATCTGGACAAAAACTAGTGGAAAGGTTGCTGGGTCTAAATGGCTTTATTTACTGTATCTTTCTAAGCAAAGGTTTATCTTTACAGAGGAGACATAATTTTCTCTACAGTGGTTGGGGAGAAATTTGCACGTTCCCCTGGAGACTGGAGTTGCAGAGGAACTTGAAGACAACCCTGAAGGGGCAGGAGGGAAGGGGGGTGGCTCTGCACCTGTTGTGCCCTGGGTGGCGTAGGTCTATGTCCAATGTGAACAAATGTGTATTCGTGTTTCTATAAATATACATTTGCATACATATCTTATAGAAACAACCAAGACTCACTTGGTTAGACTTGAACTTAGGAATGTATGATTTACAGACAATTTTTCTCTTTTTCTCTCTCTCTGTTCTTTGTCTCCAGCTCTTGAACTCTGGCTCCTTAGATCTCTTTATTTTCCAGATTTTCTAAATCAGAGCATGTGGATGGTGAATGATTTGGGGAGACATCCCTTAGGGAGATGCGTAGGTGCAGGGGTTGACTTCTTCACTGAGCCCTTCAAATAGCTGACTCCTTGTGTCATTGACTGCTCCAGCTGATGGAGGTGTCCTGTGGCAAGTTGTCCCCGACATCTCAATCCAGGCATGAAGTGCATTTCCTCATAAAATGCGTCCAAGTCTGGTTGAAATACTGGGAAATGTGTTGCCATTTGATGTGATGATAGCAGACGTGGGATTTAGGGTTAGGATGACTCTAAGTGAAAATAGTGGCTTTGCTAATTTCTTGATGAGTGTCTCAAGCACGTTCTTCAAACTTTTCAGGCTCCAGTCTCCTCTGCTATAAAACAAGGATGGTCAAGTCTACCCTAGCAGATTATTGAGAAGTCACACAATTTGTGTAAACGATGGCACGTAGGATATGTTCAGCAAACGATAGGCATTTTTATATTATCTGTAGTATTTTATTTTATTTTTTTATTAATCTGAGGCTCACATAGGCTGGACTGGTTTTTGTGGGGTTTTGGCATTCAACAGTTTTGTGACCCTGCTTTATGCAACAGAGTCGGAGGAAGCTTTGCAAGGCAGCTATGTCACAAGATTGCTCAATGAGGGGCTGAGATGTTGGCAAGAAGGACCCAGTGGGGGAACTTCTTCTGCAAGGACTTTAAAGTCATTTGTTTGAAAATGTTATTTAGAGAGTGACAATGTTTGGATACTGGTCTTTTAATTTTCTCATCTCTAAGGTGGAACAGGATCAGCCCAGATGACTTTCTAAATCTGCCTTACCTATACCACTTTATGATTGTGTGATATCACTTGTAGAAATTTTTTGTTGTAAGAACGTATCTTTTTTTTTACAAAGTGTTATGGTATAAATTCAAACTTACTTCTTCCCAGAGTAAGGGTTCACAGAATGAAGGCAATGGCATAACTCTCAATCACCTGGAGAATTTATTTTGAATTATACCTATTCCAGTTGTTCATTCATCAGAAGTACATTTAATCTGGTACCATATCATTCAGGAATATGTCTGCCCCCAACCCAATACCATCATCTGCTGTGGCCCATTGTACACTTTTGAGGCAGGAAAAATATTCATGCCACAGTTACCCTCTGCTAAGCCATGAATAATGCTTTGGTTGCAAGGACCACCCTTTCCTTCCTGTAAATGGCTTCTCCCTAACTCTCTGGTGACTGTTTTATTCTTTTGAGTTTGTTGGAAAATGGACAGTTTCCATGGAAATTGGTATGACATATTTCAACACAATGCCATTGTCCTCAGGTCTTTAACTGCTCTCTGCCATTGAAGCAATCTGTTTTGATTTGGTGACTTAATAATCTTATCAAAATTGCTTCAAGGCCATACTTTTACCTTGTTGGAAATATACTAAGATGGATTTGGCCAAAAGATAGTAATTTAGTGGGGTCCATGGCACCTGGATAAAGTGGAGATTGGTTCAATAAATATCTGCAGTGTTATTATTTGTTCTTGACCTGCTGTGTTCAAAAAAGGATTTTAATGTTAGCCAAATGAATTGGTTATATCCTTTTAAGAATTATACTTAGAGCATGTTTTCCTTGAAATATTTTAATAGATGGTGTTTATTAAACAGGATATTTCATCCTATAATATTTCTTTGACTTAAAATATGATTGTTTACACATTTAGTTCTTCTGAGATGGGCAACAATAACATTTTAAGGTGTTGTTTATTTTATGGTGTCGTGGGAGTCATATGAGTTATGTGAGCTTAGGTAAGCCAGCAGCAGCGAAGTAAGAGTCATTACCCAGTGGAAATGTTTGCTGTGGTTAGATTGGCCAAAAATAAGTGACACAGTGCAGGATCCTTGGGTGTGCTCAAATGGATATAAATAATATACTGATTCACAGATGAGAACCCTTTAAACACGTGGGTGCTGCTGACATTTCTAGATAAACTCTCTCCTTGAAAGAGCTTTGCCAATGTTGACAACAGCTGCTCATTTAGTGACCCTCTGCTGTGGCCTTGGTCCTGTTTCATGTGCTTTACATACATATTTTCTCTCATTCTGTCACCATCACAACACCCAGGCTTCTTTAATCCTTATGTACCTATTTGGAAACAGAAACCCAGGTGATGAGCTGCTTTGTCCTAGACCTTGACCACAGAGAGCTAGGACAGAATCCAGCAGCCCCCTGGTCCATACCTGTGTTTCTTATTCTTAAATGTGTTCTTCTAAAATCATCGATTCCTTTGATTTTCAAGCTTGTTCATTACTATGACATATTTCTGAGCCTAAAAAATGACAAGGTAATGCGGTGCATGGAAGGCTCAGTTGGTTAAGTGTTGGCCTTTTTTTTTTTTTTTTTTTTGTTAAAGATTTTATTTCTTTGTTTGAAAGAGAGAGAGAGAGAATGTGCAAGCAGAGGGAGCTCCAGGCAGACAGAGAAGCGGGCTCCCCACGGAGGAAGGAGCCCGCACGGGAATCGATCCCAGGATGCTGGGATCATGACCTGAGCAGAAGGCAGATGCTTAACAGACTGAGCCCCTCCAGTATCCCTAAGTGTCAGACTTTGGGTCAGGTCATGATTTCAGGGTCCTGGGATCCAGCCCTGTGTCGGGCTCTCTGCTTGGTGTGGAGTCTGCTTCTCCCTCTGCCCCTTCCCCGGCTCATGCACACTCTGTCTCTCTCAGAATAATAAAACCTTTAAAAAATGTCAAGGTGGTAAATAATTAAAATTAAAAGTGTAAGAAAAAGTTGGGGCACCTGGGTGGCTCAGTGGGTTAAAGCCTTTGCCTCCGTCATGATCTCAGGGTCCTGGGGTGGAGCCCTGCATCGGGCTCTCTGCTCATCGGGGAGCCTGCTTCCCCTCCTCTCTCTCTGCCTGCCTCTCTGCCTACTTGTGATCTCTGTTTGTCAAATAAATAAAATCTTAAAAAAATGTTTCAGAAAAAGTTTTTGTATATTAATAGGTTGTTTTAGAGTAAAGAAAGAACAATCTAGTAACTTTCTGTGTTTGATTTTAAAGGAGGTGCCTCCTTGGACCTTAAAGCTTGTCCTCCTAAACCAGCTAAATGGATCCTGGACATGACCTGGCTGAATCTGGTGGAACTCAGCAAACTCAGACAGTTTTCAGACATCCTTGATCAGGTAACTTGTGCTTTGAATAAGTTTACAGCAGTGTCGCAGGGAGCAGCTCCCTGGTTCATCACTAGCTGTGGTACTTGTGGAAGAGAGAAGTTGTTTAATGTTGTCCCTCTTGCCCTGGTGCCCGACCTTCCTCCTACCCACTCGCACTCTGATGAAGCAAACTTCACCACGTCGAAATGGTGCCGTCCAGTGCCCTATGTCAGTATCACCGACCGGAGAGCCATCAGTGGGAACACTGAGATTTAATGAAATCACTCGACATGTTTAAGGGGTTTTGCCATCTTCCTGGAGATTAACGAAAAGAAACATGAACAGTCTACCTCTAAATGCTGGAGATGATTTTCTCGCCTCTTGTTCTTCTCTTCTTCCTCCTCTCTTGTGCTCCCATGATATGGCCTTAGCCAGGTGTCTGGGCATAAATCTGCTGCCAGTCCTTGGCCCCTTTTACAAGTCATTATCCTGTCATAACCAGCCAGTTCCTGGTGAATTGTCTACGTGCTGGGATCACAGAAGTTGGGTCTGGAGAGCTGAATTGGGACAAACTAGGGAACAGATTCTTGAGAATCAGATGAGCAGAGAGAAGTCACACTGAGAGCAAGGTGGCTTTATGCAGCCACAAGCTCTAGGCTTTTTATGACCAGAAAACGTGGTAATGTTGGTTCCTGACTTTCCTGGTTTCGGTTGACCAGAAACTTACTGTTCAGCTCTATCTGTATGTGTTGGCTTTATGCCTGGTGATCTGCATTATTTCTGCCGTACAATTTAACCCATTCTTTTGTGTAAAATAACTTTCATTTGGGAGGTTTTAATGCACTCGAGTGTGTTCCCCTATGAGATGACTTCTAGTGACCTTTGTCCGACTGGTATCTGTTCCTGAGGTTGCCGTCTTCTGGAGATTGTCTTATGCCTGAAGTCCCTCCACATCATGTTGTCTTTCATGACAGAGGGAGGTTTTTACTTTTTATTCTTACACAATACTTTCTAGTGTGGATCTGGCATGTTTTTCCCTTTGATTAGGCCTCCAAGAACTATATCCGGGGCTTTAATCAAGGGGAATATACCAGAGAACATTGGATTATATTTATCTGCAGACGTTATTTGTTTGTCCTGTGTTTTAGAGATGAATGCCTGTGGAATGCTGTCCCTGATTTTAAGTTCCAAAGGATAATGGACTGTGTTCTCTTCCTCTTTATCAATTGCCTAAAGGAAGCATGTGTGTCATTACTCATTTGATATGATATTAAGTCATATATTTCAAATTACTCTAGATTAATGGAGTATTGACCAAAAAGCTTTTGGCTCAATAATAAACATATATTAAATGTCTTCTTTTGTGCCAGGAGTGGCCCTGGGAAATGAGGAAACATACGTGAATAATGAGTGAATGGGTTCCTGATCATGAAAGGATTTCATGGAGCAAATCAGATTTCCTTAAAATAATGAAAATGAATTTTCATTGATTTCTTTATTCCTCATAAATTTATTAGCACAAAGGTATGAGAAGAAATTAAACAACCCAAGACCCTCCCTACTTCAAAAGCTACTGTATGATGGAATTAATGTGGACCGACTTTAGAGAAAATCACATTTGATTTTAGATTGTCACACTTTTTGGTAGTGGAATATAAAATTAAAAAAAAAAAAAGCAAAACAAGGGATATCATTCACACGTGTCTGGAATAGTCAGAAGATTTGATGAAAAATATCCGTGAACTATTACTGAAAGGTTTTTCTGTGCTGTGATGCAATTCTTATCCCCTGGTATTTTCAGATATCAAGAAATGAGAAAATGTGGAAAATTTGGTTTGATAAGGAAAACCCTGAGGAGGAGCCCCTTCCAAATGCCTATGATAAATCTCTTGACTGCTTTAGACGTCTTCTCCTTATTAGATCCTGGTGTCCTGACAGAACCATTGCCCAGGTAAAAAGTTCGTATTAGAAAAAAAAAAGAATATTTTAAAAAGATGTTTTTATTATTTTTAAATAATCTCTACACCCATTGTGAGGCTCGAACATACTACAACTCTGAGACCAAGAGTCACATGCACCACCAACTGAGCCAGCCAGGTGCCCCCTAGGAGAATATTTTTAAGGAGAATTTCCATTTAAATTTAAAGAAATATTGAATATTTTAATCCCAGTCAGAATTGGAGGCTTCTATGGAATTTTCTGGCAATATCCATGTGACAAATGGAAAAGTAAACAAATGTAGCGAGGTGTGCATTTGGGTTAAGTGATGTAATAATCTTCTTTGGTCTAAATGGTACAAGAGTGAATGAGAAAGCCATGTTTTTAAGGTCAGTGTATAGGTATGACGTAAAGGTAATGTATTACTCCTCCATATCATTTTTATATTAACTCAAAAATGATATGGATGCTCCATTTTGTTAGTAGTAAAAAGTAGGAAGGGTGTGGAATTCTGGGAGGAGAGGTAGATAAGAGGGAGGCACAGTATTCCCAAATCTACAGTTTTAACCCCAGAAAGTCTCAGGAACCTTGATGCAAGAACTGGCTTAAAACTCTTTGAATTTTACATATAGTTTAAATGTGAATCCTGCCTCCAGAAGATCCATCTTCTCAAAGACCTTTAATCTGCCGGCCTCCTGTCATGGAAATGTCACTGCTAATAAGACTTTTGTGTCCTGCCTTCACAATGAAAAGTTTAGCTTGAATATTCAGCTCAGGTGGATTCCTTCCGGCCCTCCCCAAACAAGCCCAAGCCGTAGAGTAACAGGCTGGGTTTATAATAGAGTGTGGGACGTGCTCCCCTCCACTCTCCAGAGGGAGCATTAAACACAGGGAAAAACCAACTCCAAGTCCAGGTAGGTACCAAGGAATCATGAAAACAACTAGATTCGATGATTTATTGAGAAAAGAAAAATGAGTTTTGCAATGCAGGGCAACTGAGATCACCCTTCCTTCAGTTTTTCTTCTCAACTTCATTACTTTTATCCTGCCCAAAAGAATTGTCAGACTGTTGCCTTAAGGACAGTGTAGAAGTTTCAAGCAATCCTTCCTTTCTCTCTCTCTCTCTTTCTTTTCCTTCCTTCCATCTTTCTTTCCTTCCTTCCTTCCTTCCTCCCTCCCTTCCTTTCTCTTTCATTTCCTTCCTCCTTCCCTCTTTCCCTCCCTTACCTCTTTCTTTCTTTTTTTCTCTTTCTTTTTCCTTTCTTTCTTCTTCCCTCCCTCCCTCCCTCCCTCCCTTCCTTCCTTCCTTTCTTTCTTCCTTCCTCTCCCTCTCCTCTCCTTTCCTCTCTCTGCCCTCTTTCTCTCTCTCTCTACTCCCTTCCTTCCTTCCTTTTTTCCTTATGTGACACTTTATTTGGTTCAGTACTGAATTTAAGTCTGCAAAGCTCCTTTGTAACTCTGTCATCTCCATCCTAGCTTCTATTGTCTATAGATCAACTATAGCTGTGGTTTCCCAACTGGGGTCTCCTCTTGTTCCTTCTTGTCCACTCTAGTTGATCCTGTATACTCTAGAAGGAATGGAAATATGATTATGCTATTCCTTGCTTTTTGAAGACTTTCAGTGCCTTCCCAAGGCCATTAAAACAGCCAAGTCTTAAGATCTGCACGGCCCCTCTGGAAAAATGCCCTCTCCTCTGAAATTCTTATGCTCACATTACATTTCTTTTGTGCTTTTCAACCAGACACCTTCTTGGGAAGCATATTTGAAGGTCTACAGTGTGGGTATATGCAGTTCCCATTCCCCAAAAGCAGCATCAGTCTTGTTCTCAGTATTTTGGCCGAGCATGACTGCCCATGTCAGGGGAATTTCAGCTGCCTGGTTGTAAAAACAGAGCACCCTCAGAGGTTATCTCATGTCTCATACATGTTTGTGTCAAAAAAACAATGAAGAGGGTCAGAACAGGTGCAGAGGTTTACTTGTTGATTTTTTACCCAGACTCAACAATTGAGTCTGTTTCATTGAAATCAGATATTGAGACAAAAATGTTCTTCACAGGTATGTAAAGAGTAAGTTGTGACAATGTGGCACTCTATTTCCATTCATGCCGATGAGGTATGCAGAAGCCGGGATGTCCCACAGCTGACTCTTACATGAGTTATACTGGATGACCTTCTGGCCCTTCTCGGTGACTTGCTCTTTTCTGTTTCAAGTTCTCTGTGTGTGTCCTCTCTGCGTGGAATGCTCACCACACTAGCTCTCCTGCCTGCCCTCTTTATCTAGATAAATCCTGCTCATCACCCAAAGATCTGGATGAATCTCTTATTGTGGCTACTACCTTCCCACTCTAACCTGCAGTGGGCAGACATGAGTGGGGACAGCATCCCAATTTTAAAGCTCAGAGACCTGGGAGGTGACAATTACTTTGAGAATGCATAGTGCATAGCTGGATATTCAAAATGGAGGAAGAGCCTGCATTACTGACTGAAATCAAACTTCGGGTGTTTTTAAGTCAAAGAAAACAGTTTAACCAGCACCACTCTCTCTTTGGCCCAAGTCTTTCTCAAGTCTCTCTGACTTAAGGAAAACCCTGACTACAACTGTTTTGTGTTTCTCCAGAAATGGAAGTGGGGTCCTGCCAAGGCCCACCTCACCAAGGCTCACCTTACCCAGTCCCTGGAAAGGTTAAAGTTCATGTTGCACCCATAGCTGGGCTCTGATTATTATGTGGGAGAGATTCTTCTGGGGAATCTCATTGGGGAGAGAAATTTGGGTTTTACTCCCATGGGGTAGGAGAAGAAAACAGAATAGGAAATTTTTCTTTGAGGGAATCCAGTTTTTACCAGAGGGAGAGCATAGATTAAAGATCATACTCACAATAGTATTTTATTGATTAATTATTTTACTTTGTTGGAAAAGGGGCTATGTTTTTCCTTGAAATATTTTATATGGTTGATAATATAGTTGACAAAGTCTGTGATATTGTGAGCATGTATTTCAGTCAAAACAAAATTAGTGGTAAAGGAGATGAGCCAAAAATGGAAAGGGATTCTAAGAATGATTAGGAGAATAACTATGGACTAAATCTTTAAAATATTAACTAACTTATTCAGTAAATATCTAATATATTTTATTTAATTAGAAGTTATTCAGTAATCATCCATTGATAAGTATCCATTAAATCCCAGGCGTTGTGCTGCTTATTTGATTATTAGAATGCATATGCATTTCCCTTAAAGCATCCTGAATAATACAGTTTCCTAATTTTTTTTTTTAGATTTTTATTTATTTATTTGACAGACAGAAATCACAAGTAGGCAGAGAGAGAGATTGGAGGAAGCAGGCTCCCCGCTGAGCAGAAATCCTGATGCGGGGCTCGATCCCAGGACCCTGGGATCATGACCTGAGCCGAAGGCAGAGGCTTTAACCCACTGAGCCACCCAAGTGCCCCCAGTTTCCTAATATTTTAAATTTCTTATGTACCAAGAAGTAGCCAGCATATAGAAACAGGTTCCAGACAACTGGTCAGCCAACTTGGGTTCTCGTCTTGAACTGTGTGATTGTGTGTTGGCAAAGAACACACAGCCTCTCTGGAATTTATAGAGTAGAGATACAATAAGGAAAATGTCTCTGTCCTATTTCCCTGGCAGAGTTACTGTGAACATCACTGAGACAATCTACCAAAATGAATTTTGGAAGCCACCCTGCATCATAACACATGGAGGAGTTAGGATCCGTTTTGGTGACTCCTGTACTGTTTTTGGCAGGCCCGCAAGTACATCATGGACTCCATGGGAGAGCGCTACGCAGAAGGAGTTATCCTGGACTTGGAAAAAACGTGGGAGGAATCTGATCCACGGACACCACTCATCTGTCTCCTGTCTATGGGCTCGGATCCCACGGATTCCATCATTGCCTTGGGGAAGAGATTAAAAATAGAAACCCGTTATGTGTCTATGGGCCAAGGCCAGGAGGTCCATGCACGCAAGCTCTTACAGCAGACCATGGCAAACGTGAGGCCAAATGTCTACTTTTAGGTTATGTTGTTATTACAGGTTAAAGAATAGCAATGCAGAAAAGAACTTATGAATCATTAAGAGTTTAAATTTATGTGCTTTGTGATGTTCACCAAACAGGGAAAAGTTTAATATCCATTGGAAAAATTTTCATGGAAAAACATACAATTTTTTCTGCTGAGCCTTGACTTATGGAAAACTTACCCAACTAGAGCATCTTATTTCCCAACCAAGTTGCATAATTTTAAGCCCCGCTCTAGATCCCAAACCCTCAGTGTGGGGGGGAGGTCTACAGCCTTAACCCCTGTGCCATACACTCCAGGACCTCAGCCATGCTTCCAGCTCTGCTCTTATAATCCCCAGCACTCCAGAACCCACCACAGCATGTCTTTCTTGAGTTCCAGAATGTATATCTGTGCCCTGGAGTCCCCTAGGCTTGGCCCAGACCCCAAGAGGCCAGGAATCTGTGTTACCCTGTGGTGGTAAAGAGATTTTAGGAAACCTGGTTTATTGCCTTCCAGGCTGGGGCTCCTAGAACCCTTTGTGGCTTGCAGATTCTGTAGCATGCAGAACATGCCATGCTCAGGCCTCACCGGGGAGTTATAAAGTGCTGGAAACTACATGATAATCTTGCTAATAGGATAGTCAAGTCGAGAGCTGGGGCACTTCCAGGGACTTAAATTAACTTAATGCACAAGGCCTTCCATTTCTTCTCTAGAATTCCATCTCTAGGACAGGACACTCATGTGTTTACTCTGGTCTAGCCTTCTCTGGAGTGTCAAACTCTGTCTGGAGGAACCCTTGCCCCTGTTTCCCTCTTCCTCCACAGTTTAACCAGGCAAGTGGGGCAGAATGACTTGGCTTCATATTCCTACTGGAGAACATGCAGTCTTGATCTAGATGCCTTTCTGGCCTTTTTTTTTAGATCAGACCCTATTCCTCTTTCCCTGAGTCTGAGTTCTCCCCTGCCATATCTCAAAACTCCTTCTGTGCCCCCCAGGGAATCTCCCTGCTGAGGACAGACTAGCTGTCTTCACACCACTCTCAGCCTCCAACCACTAGGCCCACCACGAAACCACTGGGTTCTAGGTCCTGGCCACTGAATCTAGAACCTCACTATTGTGCTACAGTCTAGTCTCTTTCCTCTGGTCTAGAACTGAGCCCATTGGGTTCTAGAACCTCCATATTTACCTAGCACCTCTTTTATCCCCAAGTACAATATGCCCCACCCCCAGTTTTCATGAAGGTTGTCGGGAGGCTCACATGTGTGTGCCTTGTCTGAGCACTTGCTGTGCAGTTGGGAGGGCGGCAGGGGTGGACTGAAGTGTATCCAGAGATGAAAACATGCATCTATACTTTAGAATGCCAGATTGGGAAGGGGCACCTGGGTGGCTTAGTTGATTAAGCATCCAACTCTAGATTTTGGCTCAGGTCATGATCTCAGGGTCCTGGGATTGAACCCCATGTTGGGCTCTGTGGAGTCTGCTTGAATTCTCTCTACCCTCTCTCCCTCTGTCCTTCCTCCTGCTCATGCTCTCTCTCTCTCTCTCTCTCTCTCTCTCTCTAAAATAAATAAATAAAATCTTAAAAAGAATGCCAGGTCTGGTCTGACATGAAGGCTTAGTGGACTTCTACACCAGTTTCTCCCTCCTTTTGGCCTCCTCCTTTTTCACCCCTCCCTCCTTTTCACTTCCTCTGTTTCTCCCTCTGCATGTTACTGTGCTTAGAACAAAGACACCAACAATAACAGGACACCTATTTAACTCTAATTTAAAATAAATATTTAATAATTATAGTTTCAGGCAACTAAATTGAGTATAAATGGAATAATTTTAGCCTTCAGTTTATTCATGTTTTCTGTTTAGTAGTTTAGTAAATCAAGTAAAAGAAAAAAAAACAACTTATTATTAGCATGCTTACAACTTGTCAGAGATACTAGTTTTTTTAAAGTTTTGTAGGAAAGATTGGAGGCAGGGCACCTGGCTGGCTCGGTCAGTAGAGCCCACTACACTTGATCTTGGGGTTATGGGTTCGAGGCTCATGGTGGATTTAGAGAGTACTTAAAAAATAAAATCTTAATAAAAGAAAAAAAGGAAGGTTTGAGGCACTATGACAGAATGAACTGACTACCCAAGACTAGCAAAATGGATGATCTCCTTAACATAAAACATTTAATACAGAATATGGTAACCCCACAGAAACAGCCACGGATAAGAGATTCCAGGGGAGGGTTGAAACAGCCCACTTCTCACCTCAGATTCCCCAGCATGCTGGGAGACAGAGAGTGGCTCAACCCTTTTTGTGGTTGTTATGTTTTATATCTAATTTTTTTTGAATTGTGAACGGTTCCAGTTGAATTTTTCAAGGGACAAAAAATAGTTTACTTATTCAGCAGTGCTATATACTCCTCAAGAAAATAGAAGGGGATATGTGAAATTTCACAGTGATCCGTTTTATACCAAGATTTTAAATTTGGTGCTTGGTTTGTTTCTCAGAAAGAGTAATAACTCAGGCTGCACTAGTCAAATCTAAACCAGCCAAAGTTACAGAGTCAAGAAAACAACTCGAGATTCTGATCTGGATATTATAGATCATTCTAGCAGAAATATTCTATAGATTAGGTATTGAGTAAATTATTACAACATGATCTAAAACATGGTCTCTATTGCTTTATACAAGGAACATTCTTGGGCTCATAACATGTGTTATATAAAAGATAAGTCTTATTTTCTAAGGCTCTTGTTCTTAGAGTATGTAGATTCTCCCACTTTCTAGATGGTGTGCATCCTGCCCAGAGTTTTGGGAACTCCATGGGAGAAAGGATGGAATAGGTCTCGAAATTGAGTAGGTAGCCTTTCTTTAACCTGTCTTCAGTGAGGTTCCTAGACCCTCAATGTGCTGATGTCCTCCAGTCCAGCCCTGTCCATTGTACCTTCCAAAGAAAATCAGCTTTCCCTCTTTCTTTAAGGGAGGCAGGAACATGTTGGGGGGGCTGGGCTTTCGGTCTCTCATGTAGAGCCCATCTTCTCCCCCACTTCCACAGGAATGTCTCACCACCCGCTCTTGTGTGTTTGGGGTTATGTGGCGTAAATCAGGTTACTTCTCAGCTTTCCTTGAATGCCAATTGAGGATTTAGCTTTCCTGAGTCTGTTTTAAATGTTACTGATACTGTCTTTACCCTCACTGTCCTTGTTCTTAAAAGTTCATGCCTTTAAAAATGTCCCTTCTTTGTACTTCTCATGGAACATTGGAGGAAGCTTAGGTAAATGGATATTTCACTCAACCATCTGTACAGGGCAGTGATGTTATCTCTTCTGACACCAACTCTGGTTATTTTCATGACTCCTACTATATATTATCAGTTGGCGTGCTGGTATGCTGTGGGACAAATGCATGGAACAAGAAAATGACACACTTAACCTCAACTCAATGTCATTGTATCTGTAGATTTGACCTGGACTAATTTAGTGGTTAGTGTGCTTCTCTGTTAAATTTTGATTACCTACTTTCTGAAGAATATATTAACTTAAATCTCTGGGTGCAACAGGAAATAGTGTCTCATTTCCATTTACTGTTGTTGACTTAGGGAGGATGGGCCCTTCTGCAGAACTGCCATCTGGGGCTCGATTTCATGGATGAGCTAATGGACATAATTGTAGAAACCGAGATGGTACATGATGCTTTCCGCCTGTGGATGACCACTGAAGTTCATAAGAACTTTCCCATTACACTCCTTCAGATGGCCATTAAATTCGCCAATGAGCCTCCACAGGGTCTCCGGGCAGGCTTGAAAAGAACATATGGTGGTGAGTCGAGGGGACTTTTTGTGTTTAAATTTGTTGTCTTAAAGAAATTGCAAAAGCCATGAGTCAGGATAGAGCTGTAGTGAACTATACTATTATTTACCATGATGAGGAGAGGACAACACCTTGTCACACCCCACGTGGAATACGTTCTGGTGGCCTTAGGACATCAGAGCTCATGATCATCCACCTTGAACTTTTCCCGTATTCCCCGGATTGCTCTGCCTTGGTCTGTGCTCTTCTCCAGCTAGACACACACCTTTCTATGTTAACATTATTTTGCCATTTATGGTCCTTCATGCTCCCTACCTGAAGTTGGCCAATAGCCTCTTGCAAAAGCAGAGGCTGAATTCAAGTTATGACCTGCCTGCGTTTCATGAGGCCATCTGAACAATCTATAGTTTTTATTGAGTTGCTAACAAGGCTCAAATGCTTGTCAGGCTGTGAGATAATGTGGGGATAAATAGATGGGGAAGGATGAGGGTGGTAAAAAAATTCTAAGTAAAAAATATACAGTTATATATATGTAATATAAATACATAATAATTATAATAATTTTTTATTATGTTTTGTTAGTCACCATACAGTACATCATTAGTTTTTGATGTCATGTTCCATGATTAATTGTTTATGTATAACACCCAATCTCCATGAAATCCGTGCCCTCCTTGATACCCATCACTAGGCTTATACACCCCCCCAAGCCCCTCCCCTCTAAAACCCTCAGTTTGCTTCTCAGAGTCCTCAGTCTCTCATGGTTTGTCTCCCACTCCAGTTACCCCCCTTCATTTTTCCCTTCCTTCTCCTAATGTCCTCTATGCTATTCCTTATGTTCCACTAATAAGTGAAACCATATGATAATTGCCTTTCTCTGATTGACTTATTTCACTTAGCATAATTTGGGGAGTATACTCAGGTGTGGTGGGCTTCTAGATACACTGTCTTAATTGATTTTAAATTGTGAGTAATATATACTGAAGTTCATTGCAACTTGAGTACAGATTCCAAATAATAATGATAATAATAGCAATAATAAATAATTAGTAATAGTAGTAGTTTTAGTAGTAGCATTTATAATACTAATAGTAGTATTATATTAAATGATATATTATTAGGTTACTAGTAATAATAAATAATATTAATAATAGCATTTGAAATACTAGTATTTTAGTAATAGTATTCATTTTACTACCATCCTTCTTCTACCTCTAGTTTATCCCCACAATATCTTGTCAGACTGGCAGGAACTTGACCCATGTTAAGTTACCCAGCCCCCAACCTCCTCGCCCAGTCTCTTTGCAGATTTTTCAGCGAGAAACACCCTCTGGACACCCAAAGTTAAATTATAATTGTCATATGAATGTGATAAAAATAATTCAAGATAAATGAATTTTACTATCAGAAATTTACAAAAATAATAACTTATAAGTGTAATAAGAAGTTAAGGTGTGTGAGTGACGATACAGGTTTTCGCCCCACCGGCCGTGACAGGTGTGAGCCAGGACCTGCTGGATGTGAGCCCCGCAGCCCAGTGGAAACCCATGCTCTATGCGGTGGCTTTCCTGCACTCCATGGTCCAGGAGAGGAGAAAGTTTGGTCCCCTGGGATGGAACATCCCCTATGAATTTAATCAGGCTGACTTTAACGCCACCGTGCAGTTCATCCAAAACCACCTAGATGACATGGATGTCAAAAAGGTACCGTGTGCGCGCCGCCCTGTGCTGCCAGTGCCTGTGGGCACAGGGCCTCCTATTCACACACCTGCCCAGCTTCGGGACTGATCCTGTGACAGTGATGGCCTTCTGTGCTTGCATAGTCCTACCTTTAAGTCATGCCAGCTGGGTCACACTTGCCTCTGGATTTCAGATGAAAAAAAGGAACCAGTTTTGTTTATCTTTGTATTTCTCAAAGCTGATCTGAAATTACATGCAAGGCAAAAGGGTTGAATTGGTGGGGTGAGAAAACTCGTTTTTTAGAATCTTAAAAAACGAAAATGAAAGTCTAGGTCACTTTTGAAGCATGTGTTTTTTAAGGAGCTGCCTCAGTATTCTCCAAAACTAGCTTTTTTTTAGTTGAAATTAAAATATGACAGCATAGGAATGCACCAAAGGGGTCGATTTCAAATCATGTGCAGGAGCTTTGAGTAATTCTCAAGGTTTGTCTATGTCATTTTCTTCCTGCCCTTTTAACATTACTGATGAAGAATGAATGAATGACTTTGGTGACCACAAATACACAGCTGTTGTTTGGTGGGGAAAACCAGGATGAACTGGTAATCAGTTCTCTACAACGGTTCTGTCCATGTCCGCAGGGCGTCTCCTGGACCACTGTCTGCTACATGATAGGAGAGATTCAGTACGGGGGCAGAGTCACCGATGACTACGATAAGAGGTTGCTGAACACATTTGCTAAGGTCTGGTTCAGTGAAAATATGTTTGGATCAGATTTCAGCTTTTACCAAGGGTATAATATTCCAAAATGCAACACAGTGGATAACTATCTTCAATATATCCAGGTTTGTCTGCTTCAGAATTATATGCATAGAGCGCATGTCTACAGCCTAGTGACCATTTTGATATTTATTTGCACTGCAAACACTGCTTTTAAAATAAATTTTAATGGTGATACATACTCTCACTGTAAGTGCTTTCTTCATATGTTTATATCACCTAATGATTACAATGTTTGTATTTGTGTATTGAGTGTGGGTTTTGTATGAATTCCCTCCCTTCCTTCTCTTTTATTCTTTGTGAGGAATATTCTTTGGGGATACGACAGACTGGACAGATTTTGAACTAGGGAAGCTATGTAAGTCCCCGGGAACTCTCGAGATCTCAGCTCCTTGTGGTAACAGGGCGAAGGCCACCTCTGGACTCATCCTGAGACCTCTGGTTCTCAGTCCTGGCCAAATGGATAGAATCTGAGGATCTTCAGGAACCTTCTTGGCCGTGGGGAGCTGTCTTGTGTCAGTGGGCTAGCAGCAACCCTGTCCTCTCCTCCCTAGATGTCAGCATCCCCCATCCAGTTGTGACAACCAACCATGTCTCCAGACATGCCAAATGTCCCCGGGGGGCAAAATCGCCCCTGGCTGGGAAGTGTTGCTCTAAGAGGGAATGTGGTAGATTTTGACAGAAAATTTGAGGAAAAGTTTGGGACTGCTGGGTGGCTCAGTCACTTAAGTGTCTGCCTTTGTCTCAGTGATCCTGGGGTCCTGGGACCTGGCCCCCCATGGGGCTCCCTGCTCAACAGGGAACCTACTTCTCCCTGTCCCTCTGCTGTTCTCTCTGCTTGTGTCCTCTCGCTCTCTTGCTCTGTCAAATAAATAAATAAAATCTTAAAAAACAAAAAGAAATCTCTTTTGCCTCTATCTGAGATTCATCTCAGAGTGAACAAACTAAAACCCAATGGCCCCAAAGGGCTCAATTTATCAGTACATTTAGAGGTTCTGTGATATATGAATGTAATGAGTTTATCGTATATTACCACCTCTACACTTGTATTAATTCAGATCAACAAATACATTTGTCTTAACTGCTCTATAGATGTCTTTAAATCATTAGCACTGAATACAAAAGTGCCTGTGAAGATATAAATTTAGATATGCCCATACATGCATTTATTTACATATATTTCATTTCACAATGAACTTGAGAAGACATTATGTAAAAAGGAATAAAATAAGGGAGGAGATTTCAGGAAAAATATGAGACAATAATGAAGTTTAGGATACAATTCACACATTGAAACCAATGTCAAATTTAGGTACATTTTTTTTCTTTCAAATAGCTGTGTTCTTCGCCTGCTTATGCCGCTTCTGATCGTCTCTTGCTATCTGCTTTTCTCTTGCACTGGGTCGCTCTCGGTATTCCTCTTTTCCTAATCTCCATCTTTCTCCCTGGGAGAGTACAGTTCCCACCTGTGGCCCTCTTTGGGCCATAGTTGCTAAAACTATCATTTTCTGGTACCTTAAAACATAGAAAACATTAGTTATATCACATTTATTTAAAAGATTGGTTTAAATTAGACCTTTAGAAAACAAAATACTAATCCATAGCTCCCTTTCTATTTCACGTTTTCTAAAACAAGACAGTGTCTCTGATTAAATTTGCTGGAGGTAGAGACGGTAAGGACCCCTGACCTTACTGTGTTTCTCAGTGTTCATCCTCTTTCACGCCAACTTTTGACTCTTTTCTGGAGAAATTATTGAGATTGCAGCCTGACACAAATAAGATATATTGTGTAAATACTTATTTTTTTGGTGGTGGTGGGGATAGTATTTGATGTTATTTATTTATTTATTTATTTATTCATTTTAAAATTCGAGTATAGTTGACACCCAATGTTACATGACTTATTTTAATAAAAACATTTCTTTCCTAAGACTGTATAATCTAAGGGGTGCTTATGTCAGCAATGTGGGCTAATGTGGGGTACTTGTTGTTCAGAGCCTGCCTACCTATGACAGCCCTGAGGTGTTTGGACTGCATCCCAATGCCGACATTACTTACCAGAGCAAGCTGGCCAAGGATGTGCTGGACACCATCCTCAGCATCCAACCCAAGGACAGCTCCGGGGGAGGGGATGAGACCCGGGAGGCTGTGGTGGCCCGGCTGGCCGACGATATGCTGGAAAAACTGCCCCCCGACTACAGCCCATTTGAAGTGAGTTGATATTCTGACAGGATGTCAGCAGTGGGAAGCATCTGTTCGGTTGGTGGGAGTGAAGAGTAAGGAAAGAGGGCAAAAAATGATTTTTCTGAAACTAAAAAAAACATTCAAAAACTCACTTCCTGGGGTGTCTGGGTGGCTCAGTGGGTTAAAGCCTCTGCCTTCGGCTCAGGTCATGATCCCATGGTCCTGGGATCAAGCCCAACATCGGGCTCTCTGCTCTGCGGGGAGCCTGCTTCCTCCTCTCTCTCTGCCTGCCTCTCTGCCTACTTGTGATCTCTGTCAAATAAATAAATAAAATCTTAAAAAAAAAAAAAACTCACTTCCTGAAGAACCAGGAAAAGAAGTTTTTAAATCTATAAATGTGATCATTTTGAAATAGAAACAATAAAGAACCCTGACAAGAATGTTCATGTTCATGACTAGGTTCTAAGTGTATACCGATGGGTTAGGATTGCTTTTCTAGAACTTTCCTTTGAAGTTCTTCACATTGTCATTCGTTCAAAGGAAAGTCATGTATTTTGAGAATCAGGCACCTGGTCAATGAAAAAATATTGTGTAATTTAATGCACATCTTAAAATTCAGGCCATCCTAATTTCAGGAAGGTTATATTAGTAACTCTACAGCTTCATAGGTTTTGAAAATTGATTTGTCTTTTTAATATGTAAGTGACTTCTAAGCCAAATTTATTATTAGGAAAGTTCATTTTTTAGACAGTTTAGCAGATGTTAGTGAAAAGATTTACTCTGAAAACATTTTAAAATCTTAGATAAAAGCACCAGTGACTAACTTTACATGTAGTCTTAGCAGATGCCCCGGACTAACCCTGTAACATTTCTGTCACAGGACCCCCTGGCCCTTTATATATTGCCCTTCTTTACCCGGTTTTCAAAAACGAAACCTGTAGCATTTTGTTTCTTTAACATCTTATTATTTTCCACAAAGCAGACCATTTTGGTTTCTGGTACTGTACAGTGAACTCAAGGACCCATTACCAAGGGAATAATTTCCCCTTGAGAAAACTGATCACTTGCTTGGAGAAAATCAATACCTTTATCAGCTTTCATAAGCACCTCTCGTTGTAGTATCGGGAGAGAGGTCATTCATATCTAACAGTGGCTGAAATATTTATGAAGCAATAAAAATATCTAAAAATGGAATAGCAGTTACATAAATAAACGTGGCAAGTAACGGGGATTAGGAGAGCCTCCTTCCTTTGTCTGTGTTGCCTTGGGATAAAGCAACTCAGCCCAGCAGGATAGCTGATCCATAGAAGACGCTCTCGATAAGTACTTGTAGGATGGAAACGGGTTGGGGGGGGGGAGTATGATCGGACAGATGCTATGATGGAAAGAACCGGAAGCTCTGTAGACGGAGTCTAGTCTTTTGAAGCAGCCAGCAGGATGGTTGTGTGCATGTACACATGTTTTTTTGTGTGTCCGTGTGTGTGTTGGCCAGTCTTAGGCCAGCAGGTACATGAGCATCTCCTGACGAGCGCCCCTGCTGTGTGGAAGGCTGCGTGGTTGTGGTCATGTGTTCGTATTCTTCTGGGAATGAATGGCTGCCTGTTCTCTCCCGCCTGGGACGGGAAGTCAGCTGGTCCACCCACAGATGTGTCCTTTTGTGTTTCTCCTTTGTTTTCTGGCAGTGAAAAAAAAAAAAAAAGGCTTACCATTAGCGGAATTGGACAATTGGGGGCCTTTCAGCAGCCCCAGGGAGCTGGTTACATAAATAGCCATCGCTGTCACATTTTTTTTTTTTAACGATTTTATTTTTAAAGATTTTATTTATTTATTTGACAGAGAGAGATCACAAGCAGGCAGAGAGGCAGGCAGAGAGAGAGGGGGAAGCAGGTTCCTTGCTGAGCAGAGAGCCTGATGCGGGGCTCGATCCCAGGACTCGGATCATGACCTGAGCCGAAGGCAGAGGCTTTACCCACTGAGCCACCCAGGTGCCGCGCTGTCACGTTTTTAACATGTGCTAAATGTCTCCATGGCAGGTGAAAGAGAGGCTGCAGAAGATGGGGCTGTTCCAGCCCATGAACATTTTCCTCAGGCAGGAGATAGACAGGATGCAGAGGCTGCTCACCCTGGTCCGCAGCACCCTGACCGAGCTGAAACTCGCTATCGACGGCACCATCATCATGAGCGAAGATCTGGGGGATGCGCTGAACTGCATGTTCGATGCCAGAATTCCTGCTCGGTGGAAGAAAGTACGGTTACGTCTGCTCCCAGTCTACTTCCTCACTTTATCGTTGTCAGTAGTCCAGATTGGCAAGTGGAAAGCAGAGTTTACTTAGAAGGGTTCTTTTTTTAAGGGACAGATCCCCCAGTAGGCCTGTAATTGCAGCTTTTAGTGCGGGAAGGAGACTACGTAGCATCTCCCATGTATTGGGCATGCTACTAGGCCATTTGTATGCATGATTTCATTTAAATTTTTGCATTTTATAGCCCTCTTTTTGCAGGTGAAGGACTTGAGATTGGGAGACACTGAGTCTTTTCCCAGATCCCACGCCTAAGAAATCCAAGGGTCAGAAATTAAACCCGGGCTCTTGAGCTTCAAAGCCCATGATGTTAGCTTTGTAGAAGGAAGTTTTCCTAAACACACACACACACACACACACACACACACACACACACACACACTGCCAAAGTCACACCAAAGAGAAACATTTTTCATGGCTTTGCCTGTACATATGTGAGTATGTATATCTTCAGGTAACAAGATAATGATTTAATAGTCTGCTTACTGATCGTGTGCTGGTCCTTGTGCTAAATGGCAGATGCACTTTTGACAAATGCTTGTCTACTTGGAGAAGTAAAGGGAGTACCAGAGTATCTTTGTCCAGAGTTCATGCATTGTGGGGGATGGTGAAGATCTGGGTGTATGGTGGGAGCTTGGGAGGATGGAAAGCTGGGGCCAGGTGGGGGTATGTACAGGGAGGGCATCATCGGGAGATGGGATTGGGTCATGCAGTCACTGGGGTCTTGGCCTTCTGGAAGCTACTCAGGGAAATGGGAAGGTGAGACATAATAGTGTTAGAACTGAAAGAGACTGTTTAGCATCGAGACTCTAGTATCTCACCCTGGGCTTTAGAAACCCAGATCAGCCTTGACCAGACTCCATCCTCTCCTCACCTTCAATGAATTCATTCCCAAGGCCAGAGAGTTTTCCATGTGGACTGACTGTCCTTGTTGCCAGTGACAGAGGGAGAACCTACCTGGTCACTAGTCAGTAGCCTTTGCAGGTTCATTTCCCACCAAACCAGCTCAACCAGCTTGGTCTGCTCCTGGAATGCTTTGGAGGAGGGATCCTTGTCAGGAGGGGCCCTCGCATTAATGGGTCCCTGTGCCCTCAGATCAGTACAAACACATCTTTTTCAGTTAACACACCTATAAAGATAGGATAGAATGAGTTACCTAATTTTAAAATTATGATTTTTTTAAATAATTTTTTATTCTACTTAACTTATTGTCAGTCTTTGGAATCTTATTATCTATAGGCAAATTAATTCTTAAGAATTTGAAATTCAAGCAGTATATCTACACAGTTTGATCACTACATTTATTCATACATAAGATATTCCAATTACAGTAAAATGATATAAAATATGGTTTGGAGAGATCTACTGGCAGAGTTGCCGCTAACACTAGTGACATACCCATGCCAATTGTAATAACAGAAGTTCCACGTGTGAATTCAGGCAGAATATTACAAACAATGAATGCAATTAATTTGTTGGTGGTAAGGGACCTGTGTTTCCATTTCTGCTCCTTCATCAGAGGAATAAAAGTTCATTCTCAGGGACAAGAACTTCAGAAAATAACTGTTGTTTGCCTCATTAAAAATGAGAAGTGGAGGAGGGATTCTATCATTTTTCATCAACAGAATGTATTTTATTTTTTTAACAATATATTTTAAAGAGACCATGAGTACATTTATGTAAATGGAAACCCTGTTTTATGGTGTAGCTGTTAAAAATGTAACCTAAGGAGAAAAAAATGTAAACTAGGGAAAAATAGTTGAGACCTATTAAATTGAATTCAATTAACTATTTTAGCTGCTTTATAGCAGAATTGGTAGTGAATATATTTGTACTTGAAGAGCATACTGAGTGCTAGATTGTTCTGGAATTCGTGTGATGATCAGCTGATTCTAGTGTATCTTAAAATCAGGAGGAGGAAGAATAATTTGAAAACTTAAATGTCAGAACCCAAGGGAAATTCATGTCTCAGGAACTTTTAAGTTCTAAAAGTGATTTGGTATTTCATCATTTTTTCCCGTGCACATAGCTAGTCACACAGCAGAATGAAGCCTGTATTAATTAATTATTTCAATGTATGCATTTCAGGCATCATGGATTTCTAGTACGTTGGGTTTCTGGTTTACTGAACTTCTAGAAAGAAACTGCCAGTTTACCTCCTGGGTTTTCAACGGCCGACCCCACTGCTTCTGGATGACAGGTTTTTTTAACCCCCAAGGATTTTTAACTGCAATGCGCCAGGTAATAGTTTCGACTTACACCTGTTGTGTTATTATGATTTTCTTTTACAAGGTTTTCTTCTGTCAGTATAGTTTTAAGACTATAACGAGACACAGAATGGCTGTCCCTTTGTGCCACCAGCAATTACGTTGTCCTGAAAGGAAATCCAGCAGCTTGTTCTCAGGCTGCTAACTTGACTTTCAAAGAATTTATTTTTTATCTTTATATTTGATATAATTTGATATTTTTTTTTGTAAAATACAGTGGTTGAATTAGGAGATGGGTATTGTTTATGAGAGAATCTTTTTAACTGTGAAAGTACGATTCTACTTCCTCCGAATTAGGGTAATTGGGGTTACCCTTTCATCACTGTAACACTCTTTATGTTAAGATAAACCTCTAACCACTCTCTTCGTCCTTTGCTCTTGTTCTTGTCCTGAGCAGGAAATAACGCGGGCCAACGAAGGCTGGGCCTTGGACAACATGGTGCTTTGCAATGAAGTCACCAAGTGGATGAAGGATGACATTTCTGCCCCTCCCACCGAGGGTGTCTACGTCTATGGCTTGTATCTTGAAGGTGCTGGTTGGGACAAGAGGAACTTGAAGCTCATTGAATCCAAACCAAAAGTGCTCTTTGAGCTGATGCCTGTCATAAGGATTTACGCGGAAAACAACAGTAAGTTGTCCTGTGCGTTTAGGGATGGTTGGCATCAGATTGGATAATGTTAGAAACACAAGGTCTTGTATATTTGTTATCATGGTGTGAGGATTTTACTATTTTATCTGTGAAGAGAGGACCCATGTTTAATGAGTGCTTGTTGATTGCTAGGTACTTTTTTGGGTATTACGGGGGAGGCCATGAATCTAGATCATTCTTGCCTATTTACAAAAGCAGGTCAAATATATAGGGATACCCACAAAATGTTAGGTGATGAGATAAGAAGCAAGTGTTTGGAATAGTTAACAGAGGATGGGAAAGGAGGGGAGATGGGAGTGGGAAGAAGTGATCAGGGGCTGGGTCTTAGGAGCAGAGCCTGGACAGGGCCTGGAAGGTTTGATAAGATGAGGTGGGACCAGTGGTGGAAGGGAGGCTTTCTAGGCAGGACAGTGTAGGACCCCCTGGAGGTGATGACTCTACCAGCTTGGAGATTTAAGCCACGGTGTGAAAGCCAGATTGAATTCAGGGGCATTTGGCTTAATCCAGTAGCTAATAGTAAAAACCTGGGTTCATATTCCAGCCTACAAACATAATATTATGTCTATGAAGCAAACGTTATTGCACTTTGACAAAGTTCTGTGTGGTAAGACTAAAAAGATCTAAGCTGGTTTCCACCATTGGCCTGATGTGTTCTGGATGCTTTTCTTATTACATTTCACTCAGCTAATATCTTCTCAGCAATAACCACCTTTCAGCACACCTGGGACTTCCCTGTTCATCTCATTTTTTAAAAAATGTATTTTATCTTTTTAATAGAAGTTGCATATACTTAAGGTGTACAACATGATGATTTGATATACACATACATATATGTGGTGAGATGATTGTTGTAAGCCATGCACTTTGGTGATGGCCGTGATAGTGGATTTCAAGGAAAAACTGATTTTATGACAGAAACACAATAGGTTTTCCTTTAAACAAGTAAGGAATAGACCATCTCTTTTTGAAAGACAGCTTCTAGGATCCCCATCTCTTAGATAAATATCACATTTGGGAACATGGGTCAAGGGAAGAGAGTTTATAAACCATGAATATTTATTTTTTAAGCAAATATTTGCTGGATGCCTGATATGGGCCAGCCACTATCTTAGGTGCAGAGGACACAAAGATAATGATGAACCAGATCAAGCCTAGAAGGGATTCCCTGTAGTTAGGGAGACTGCCAAGTAAATCAATAATTGAAATGGAATTTGATACATGTTAAGATAGAGATACACTCAGAACGCCCAGAAGAAGCACTTCATAATGAGGTGTGCTTTGACGTTAAGAATGAGTGTGAGAGGAGTGGGCGATAGACTTTTCTTAGCAGAGGGAAATACATTAGCCCAGTCGGTCATCCAGTATCTGTCTGGTTTTGACCACCCGTGTGCTCTGCTCTGGTGCTGGGGACGTAACAGGGAAGAAAGACCAGGCAGAATCCCCATTCTTAAGGAACCCAGTGTCAAGGAGGGACAGGCAGCAAAAAGGAAGCAGACATAGCTGGTCCTTTTTATTCATGGATTCTGCACTTCAGAATTCACTGTACTCTAAAATCTGTCCGTAACCCACGAGTCCATGCATGAGACACAGTCATTTGCAGGCAGAAGAAGGCTGTGACATGCCTCATGGAGAAAATACGTGCCTAACACAAGCTTCACTGAAGCGTGAGTTAAAGTGCCATGAGTTCAATGTTCATGAATCAACAATATATGTGAAAATGTGTCTTTAAACAAAAACACATCTACAATAAGGTTATGTATTGAGTGGTTGATGAACATAATGGGACCAGAGGCTTGTAGGAAACCTGCCCTCTGTTTGGAAACCCTTGGAACAATGGTTCAGTAATTGCTAATTCCCTGTTCCTAGAGATTTTATGTACTGAAGTCCCATGATAATGAGAATCGACTCTAAATGCACATACTGGTTCCAGATAGTTCTTTTCTATGAAGGAAACACACTCGTGTCATGCTAGGGAACGGGTAGTTTAGGGGTTCGGGGAGAGGCTTGCTGAGGAGAGAACATTGAGCTGAGATCCAGGTGACGGAAGGCAGCTCTGCGAATATCCAGGAGCAAAGGTGAGAGTCCGAAGGCGTGAGGTAGTGGTGGATATGCTGTGAGTGAGGAACAGAAAGAAGGTGCGTGAAGGGAGAGGAGACTGTGAAGAGAGGACGGCATCAGAAAAGAAACAGGAAGGTCCTCCACATACCCCAAGGGAATCTGACAGGATAAATGTGTGTGGCTGAGCCTAGGCAAGCAAGCCGCCTGTGGCTTCAGATTTATTGGTTCTTAGGGTGGTGTGAAGACCTGGGGCAGTGGTTACTTTGTAGAGATAATCATTAAGTGTTCTTTTAACCAAGATAATATTTTAGAAATTTTGCTTAATATATCATTGGGCCCAGTCAACACGTTGCAAAAAATGTTTCCCTTATAAAGTAAAAATAAAATAAAATAAAATAAAATAAAATAAAATCTTCCTCACATTCATTAGGTGTTACTTTTATATATCTTATGACTAAACTATAAAAATCCATTGCAACATGATTTTGAACATCTCAGCATGGTATCAATAAAATGATAATTTCATAATACAGGCCGTTCTTTATTATTTAAGAACACATTTTTATAGAAGAACTGTACTCACCCTGCTGGGAATTAGTCAGCGGTGATGCTCATTAGCAGCAGGTTAAGGGCGCAAATAGAATAAGCAAAGGAAAAAGTGACCAATTTCAAAGCACTGAAAAAAAAAAAAGAAAAGCTTTCATTTTTTTTTTCTTTTTCTTTCTCTCATTTTTTTTAATTTCAGTAGCAGTTGGTGGAAACCTGTTTTGCCAAATAGCTTTGTTGTCAGAGAAGTGTTTTTTAGTGATGAAAAGCTAAAATTCCATTGCTGTTTTCATACTATAAACTTAATTTTCATTTAATCTTGATAACTGAATAGGGCTCTAATTGAGCTAAAGGGTGTGGCCTTGTTAATGAAGCTTTAAAGTTTAAGGTTAAAATTCTTATAGTAAATTGTTTTTATGTTGACATGAAGGGTAACTTTTAGTTTAAATAATAGTTTAAATAATTCACCATTGAATTTTCCATATAAGACTGGTTTGTTTTAAAAAAAGAAGTCTAGATATTTATAGTAAGTTTAAAAAATTGCATAATGTGTCCCCAAATGCTTAGGATATCATAAGAACGTCACCCAAATAGTATGAAATTCACCAAAAGGGCAAAACCTCCCATATCAACTCTAGCTCCTTTGCTCTCAAAGGAAGTTGCAAAGAGGCAGACATAGGAAATTTCTATCTCCCTATAGATTATATATAGATAGAGTGATGCTTCCCAGTGAACTTCAGTGCTGTAGGCAATGTGATGGGAAAATGGTAACTGGAACCTTTGCGGGGACAAAGCAAGACTTAATATGTACCTTTGGGCACTCAATAGGGTGAGAAGGATCTCAGGGTCTCTACAGCTAATGAGGAAGAAGGTGTTTCTAGAATACCCTCTGAGGCACCCTGGTCCAACACTGTGCAGACATGGGGCTGGGGGTGCGAATAGCCCCATGCCGGGACCAGGAGGTGGGGGCCTCCTAACTCTTGAGCCCCATGGAATTTAAGCCGTCTTCAGTTTGTAAACCTGGGACTCATTTAGAGTCATGGGGAAGGTGAATCTGGGGAATTTTTTTCAGTAAAAAGATAAAGGTGGGTGTACATTTGTGCATGCATGTGTGTGTGTGTGTGTGTGTGCATGTGTGTGTGGGCATGTGTGTGTGAGGAGAGAGAGAAAGGAGAAATCTAACACACCTTGGGCATCTGCCGCATTTCAAGTATTATGCTATGCTTGGGGGGTCATTCCCATATATTAATTTGTTTAATCTTTACAACAACTCAGTAAGCTATGTCATCCCTGTTTTGCAGATGGGAAAGTTAAGGGGTAGAGATGTATGAAATTGGCCTAGGGTTTCCAGCTACCAAAGCTGGTGTCAGAATGTGGGATGAATGCAAACCTCTGGGAATTCCTATGTTCTTCTTAAGACTATGTGTTTAGGGAGTCTCTCTGGTGTCTGCGTTGAAGCTTCAAATCAAAGCCTAAATTACAAATGAGGACAGCTTCTTTGCATTTTGAAGTCATGAGTTTATTTTTCTCAGGTACATGGTGAAGTAGGTACAGAGTCTGCGCTTCTGGATGAGTGCTCTCACTTCCTGTGGCCTCCTCCTCTGCAGGCTGCAGGCTAAAGAGCTAAATGTGGTCACTTCCCCTGCCAGGTGGCAAGGGTTGGAGGGGTGGGGGGGATGGGGCACATGGGCTCAGGTAAAAGGCATGAGCCAGGAGCCTGGATATTTGAGTTGTATTTCTGATTTTATCACTCCAGTAATTAGTCATGTGGCTTTTAAAAATTTTTTTAAAGATTTTTTATTTATGTATTTGACAGAGAGAGAGGGATCACAAGTAGGCAGAGAGACAGGCAGAGAGAGGGGGGCAAACAGGCTCCCCGCCAAGCAGAGAGCCCAATGCGGGGCTCAATCCGAGGACCCTGAGATCATAACCTGAGCCGAAGGCCGAGACCCAACCCACTGAGCCACCCAGGCGCCTCAGTCATGTGGCTTTGAAGGTGTCTCAACTATGCTTTAAGTTGAAGTCAGACATCTAATTGTTATTTCCAGTTCATTTTCACCTTCTCCTGCTAAGATGTAGAGGCACACACACTTAGAACATTCTGACTATTGCTGAGATTAAGGGCATAGGCTCTCAACCCATTCTGGCCAGGTTTGGTTCCTATCACCTACAGCTTTGTGACCTTGGATGAATAGCTCACCTTGCTGTGTTCCAGTTTCCTCGTCTGCAAAATGGATTTCATAATGGCACCCATCACATAAGGCTGTTAAGAGCATTAAACTGACAGGTGGCTAGCACCCAGTTAGCATACAATAAATCATTTTGTTATTATTGCTGATATTAATACGCTAACTCACATGTTTGTTGCAGGATTAAAATAAACATTTAAGAGTCCCCTTTTAATCACTTCAATGTCATTCACAAAGAGGAGTTAAACAAAGAAATGATTTAAAGGTTATATAGGGAATCTCTATGTAACTTGGTTGTTTTGGATATCAGAAGGAACGTATGATGCAGTGATATACTAGCACTTGGATGAAAAGTGTAGGCTAGAGAGGGAAGTGACATAGTTAGAAAGTGAAACTCCCTCAAGCTGTTTAAACCTTTCAGATCTGAAACCATAGCCTCTCCCCGATTTAGACAGCCTCTTGTCTTGGCTCCTCCTTCTGGGACCCTAAGGCTTTCGACGTGATTAGCTGATTTGCTTTCCCTACCTAGCATGTTTATTTTTGTCTTCAAAGTTACTTGTCTAACTAGGGCTAATGGCTTTGAATCATCTGTTGATGTGGTTGTTTAGCGTGTGTCGGCACCTTGACCATGAAAGGGCACTTCCAGCAGCTTCTAATCCTGCTGCGGAAGTTGGCTGCCTGCTCTGGTTTGGCTTGGGCACCTTTAGTTCTGCAACAACTACAAATTAACAAAATTGGGTAAATATCTCAGAGGATTGTTTTTTACCTGTCTATTGAAAAGAATGTGATTTCCCACCCCACCCCCCAATTTGTCTTTGCTTTTGGGATTAAAATCCAAGTAGTCCTATATTTCCCAAGGTGTAATTATTACAATTACGTATATTTATTATTACATACATACTATAATTACATTTGCACCAAATGCGAGACTACACTGGGTTCCTTCAAGATTTATAACATTAGTCAAATTTGCGTCAAGAAGAACAATATTTAACACTTATTATATATTTACAGATCCCAGGATTAAAGGATTTGATGATATCAGTCAGTACTGTTAGTATTAACTACACTCCATGAATTCACTGCAATTCACTTGTTTAATCAGAATTTTTGATATATTTGCCTAATAATTATTATGAGTGATATTCTCATGGTAATTTAAAAAATAACACCCAGATTTTAAAATTAGGTGTTAAATTAATTTAGATTCACTCTCATGATTAATTTCATGGGATTAAGCAAACCCATAGTTTTAAAGTAGTGTAAAGCACCTATGAGTTTGTTTTAGAACAGGGTTCCCTGACCTTGATATTATTGATATCCTTTGGTGGGGTGCAGGGGGTGCTGTCCTGTCCATTATAGCACATTGACAGCATCTTTGGCCTCTGCCCACTAGATGCCAGTAGTGGTCTCATAGCTCTGGTAACCAAAAATATCTCCAGATAGTCACAAATGTCCCCCACGAGTGAAATCATCCTTGGTTAAGAATCACTGCTTTAGAATATTTATTTTATATTGAAACCTAATGTATAATATCATTATATTCAAGTGTTTAATTTCTCCCAATAAATTAATTACAGTGGAGGTATAAAAACACATGGCAAAGCAGGTAGAGGGTTTTACTGGGTCAGAAAATGAGATCTTAACTTTTGAGAGTGACTTGCTTTTGGAATTTGTTAGAAAAAGATAAATTATCATGCAAGTTAGTTTTGGGACATAAATTCAGCAATATGTCAACATCTCACGTAGAGCGTTGAGAGTTACTGCTTCCAAGTTTCACGTGTATGCATCACACGAATTCACCAAAGCAACGTTCTCCTCTTCATTAAACCTGCTTTGGTCTGAATGTTTATGTGAGGGTCATGTACAATGTTGGCCTTCCAGAGGGGCACAAGGATGGGTGCAGACACCACGTTTGTGCAGAAACAGTTTAGGAAGAGAAGAGAAAATAATGCTTCCTGAGATGGACATGAGGAGACATGCAGATAAGCTATGCGGGTGGTGTAGAGTGAAGGAGAAGCTGACCAAGTTCACGTTCCAAGCTGTTCCATGCAGAGGCTCCTCCCAAAGCCCAATTTAGTATTTGTAAATTTTTACTCTTTTTCTGAAAGCCTTGTGCCACCTGTAAGACCTGGATCTGTCCCTGATCGTGGGGTTTCCAAGAGTGGAGAGAACGTGAAACTTTGGTTAGGGATGAATATATTAGCAAGGGTCTTTGAAAGATGGACATGCATAAGTTGTCTTTGTTGCAAAAGTAGTTTGGAAACTCCGTGTGTTCATCCACTCCAAAATGGTAGATTGTGTCTCAGGGGGATGAACTGTGCCATGGCTGTCTGCTTCCCAGCCACTTCTCTTCCTCTGTACACATGGAGAACTCACAACCCCTGATAAGGGTGGGGAACATCCCCTGTCCTGTGATTTCAAATATCCTTTAGACTATGGCACAGAGGGTCAAAGGCAGAGATTTGAAAACATAATATAATGAAATACTAGTGAGCCTTGGTGCTGGGCATCTGATTAAAAGTGACAGGTGCCTTGTGTCAAAGGCAAACCCTGAGAGAAAAATGGAGAGGGTGTCCATGCACAAGATCGGGTGAGGACGTAGAGGAGAAAGAGTGCAGGGGCCATGTTGAACTGATGGGTGGAAAGGAAGCAGTGGGAGGTCCATTGTCATTTCATGTGGGCAGGGATTATCGTCAAGGACAGGGGACAAGGGGCCAGTGGGATAAACCTGAAGATGTCTGGGTGTTTTGTCATACTCCCTGGAAACCTGCAGTTATGTCTGCTTCACATCTAGGGAGGACTGACCTCAGGAAGAATCTCTCTCATTCTACCCAAACTTTGGAACGATCTTTAAAATGCACAGATTTGACTCTGCATGCTTTTGGGGCTGCTTAATTTTGAAATTCACCAAGTTTTTTTTATGGATTTTTTTGTAGCTTTAAGAGATCCTCGGTTTTATTCCTGCCCCATTTACAAGAAGCCAGTTCGAACGGACTTGAACTACATCGCCGCTGTGGACCTCAGGACGGCCCAGGTCCCTGAACACTGGGTGCTCCGTGGGGTTGCCCTTCTCTGTGATGTCAAGTAACATGGGGTGTGTCCCTACCGAAAACTTCAGAAAATGCAGGTCCGAATTACCCTAACCTTTATTTGTCCGTGAGCGCTGAACAACGTTGATCACGCAGGTTAATCGTGCAGCTAATGAGCTGTGTAGGTTTTCCCTACTCCTTAGCTGGACGCTTAATCACTTTTAACCTGTGTCATCCTTAATGACCAATCCGTGTGTTTATTGAAAAGTTATTTGGTGATTTAAAAGCAAAACTTACAACTCCCTAATGAAGTGTGGCCTGCAAATCCACAGTAATGCATTCAGGTCTAAAGACAGGGTAGGTCAAGCAGACATTTCCTTGAACGGATTATTCTTCCGCTAATGTGGTTCTGGAAACAGCCCTGTTCACTAAGGGAACAGACAGGTTTGTGCTGATTTTGCTTCTATGGCCTTTTGCATTTAGGTCAGGTTAAGAGATTTGTTTTCATAGCTCAAGCAGCCATTTGGGAAGACCTTTTAAAAAAATGGAAGGAAGTAGATGATTGGGTTAAGAATGTGAATCGATGAATAGACAATTCATGTAATCCTAGAGAATAAACATATAGAATGATGTTCAACTCCAATGATAATTAATAATGAGATACTGATATTTGTTATAATAAAAAATATGAAGGCTGGAAGTGACTTGTGGTGAGGTCTTTGTAAAAGTGATATGCTTAGAGATTCCTAGAGCGATGGAAATCAACCCGTTCTTTTTGTAAAATAATTAAATATCCAAGCACAGAAAGAGCCATAAAAATGTTCATATGCTTTGAGTCTTATCTTCTCTCCTGGAAATCTATACCAAGAAAACAATTGAAGAGGCTGCAGTAATTTATATAGCAAAATACATTTAATAACAGAAAACAGTGAGAGCACCCTACGTGTTCAATACCAAGTCTATAGTTACAGAAGTAGGGGATGTGAGGCAGCCACGATAAACAGGATCAAAGCTTTCTTAGCATGGAAATGGTAAACATGTAGTATGAGGTTGAAGATACACCTCAGAAAATATCGGGTTGACTTGAAATGGTGTAATGATTGGAAGACCAGGCAAAGAATAGAAGTCAGTTGGTGTGGGGGCCTTTTATTAATAAAGAAAATACTATCTGTGGAACTCTTCATATGTTTTTATTTTAAATCCTGGTTGTGAATTATAAACTGCTTCATCTATAACTTATTGACTAGAAAACTTGGTCAGAATTAAATTAGAGCGGTGGTCTGCAAATGATTGCTTAAATTCACATCTAACTTTGTGTTTCTGGTGATAAACCATTTTATAGGAAGGAGGGGCTGCAAGGAAGCAGGTGTGGGTCCCTCTCATTTTATGTTAATTATGGTCAGAGCTAGGCCTGGGGGGTTCATGGAACCCCACCCATCTTGGACAATACTCTTTTCATTTGAGCAGCTTCAGGTGGTCTGAATTACTATATACTAGTTGATTGTGGGAATTGTGGTAAAACAATCATTTTATTTTGAAGAACAAATAATAAGATGTAGAAATGATGTGAATTAATAAAGAGCTGTTAATGAATGTCAAAATTATAACTGCTCTTTCTCAGCCAGGGAGCAAGTGCCATTGCGTATCCAGAAATAAGGTTTCAAAATGAGGTTTCTTATCAAGTTAACTTGTTGAAAATGCATAATTCATCTAATTCTGTGAAACGAAATTGTTGGTATGTATGTACAAGTCTTTGAGACCCAAAGTGGGAAAGGACACCATGGAGACAACTAGAAATTTTGGGGGACAAATTCAATAAGAAATGTTGCTGAAGAAGTGAAGAGCCAAGGATGCCCCTTTCCACACCACCTCAGGCTCTCACCCTGCAGCTCCCACCCACAGAAGGTTCTCGGCTTCTACTGAATTGGGTGTGGGGCAAGAGAACCAACTCATTGATTCTTCCCGGTGATGGGAAGAGTCGCCAACTGCTTGCGTGAGCGCAAGAAAGAAAACAACACGCAGTGAGGGTACGGGTGTCATTGCCGAGTCTTTGTCATCATCTCAGTATTGATTTACTTAAAAAATTACTTCAGTGTGTCTGATTCTTGTGTGTCAGGAACAATGGTGGGGAAAAAAATGCCCACATTCCCTGACGTAAGAGGACTAGACACAGAAAATAAGCGACTATTCAGGTATGTAACTTTACATGATCTCAACGTATGAATGTATAGTATGACACATGTAGGAGATTCATAGAGGGACATATAGAGATTGGAGTTCTGCACTCCAAAGGAAAATGCCGGGTGCTAGGAGCGAGGGAGACCACAGCCATTCAGGTGTCACAGATTAGTAGGCAGAAGCCACACTATAGCATCACTGTTTAACAGAAGACACCAAGAGTACCAGCAGCAAGGAACTCCCCTGAGCCAAAGCAGCTACTTACAGAGGCCGAGAAAATTAAGGCCATCCCACCTTGAGTTTAGCATTAGCACAAGTATAGCCATCTTAGCTTCGGCAGCCATCTCAGGCCCCTGTGACCAAGGGCTGAACTTTCCCCTACTTTACTTTAGTTCCAGGGACCCCCACCCTGCTTTAGTAACAGGAATACCTAAACCTGTAAACACTTCCAGGAAAAACCACTATAACTAACCCTGTAAACACTTCCAAGAAAGTACCTAACTCTGTAAACAGCCCAGCAACAGCTAATCAGCTTACTGCAGAAAAGTCTGAAACTTCTCCCCACCCCCCCTCTTGTAATGACCCATAAAAACCCCTGTCTTAACTAGCGTCGGGGTCCAAGTCCCTACTCTGCTGTGTCGGGTATACTTGGGCCCAAGCTTAAGCTTGTCAAATAAACCCTCATGTGATTGCATCGGTGTTGGCTCCTTGGTGGTCTCTGGAACATGAAAACTTGGGCATTACACTGCTGTCTGGTTTTTCTTGGTCCCCTGGTTCTCTTGGGCAGGGGGCAGGTATTGGTGACTCTCTTGACGCAAATGAAGTCCTCTCAGAATTGAGACAAAAGAAAACACTTTGCCACATCAGAACTGTCCTGATGTGTGGGGATTTCCACTTACCTCTCTCTCCTCTGAGCTTCTCTTTAAGGGAGCATTGGCAAGCATCCAACCCATTCAGCAGCAGCAAGGCCAGGTCCCTATCAGGGGACGTGGCAAAGCCACAGCCCAGGTGTTCTTGAGCAACCTCTCTACCATGGGTGGTTTCCCTACGGAGACCTCATGTGACTGGGCCCTAAGGAAGGGCATCTCTGGAGAGGTGACATCTACGTTTAGATCTGAAGGACAAAGGAAAACCTCTCCCACCTGCCAGTACTGGGGAGTCTTCTCTTGCTTCCTAATGAGAGGAAGTGAGCACAGGAAGGGTGACAGGAAACCCAGCCTGGAGTGGGAGGGCTGAGGAGGGCTGCTTCCTAAATGGAATTTCAAACCTTGCTTGACTGCTGCCGGCTATAGAGCAGTGGCCCGTGGAAATCCTGTGTTCCCAAGTCACTAGAGTGAGAAGCACTTCTTGGTGTTAAACGCTATTTGTGATAGAAAAGTCTTGTCAAGAATTCGACAGTAGGAGACAGGATGAGGCAAATCACGAGTGTTATGTAGTTAAATGGCTTGCAGGAGTCTCCAGTACAGACAAAATGCACGGCATTGGCGATATCTTTATTAGTGATAAACTTGCGCTCGAAGGTGTAGAATTACAAAAAAAATTGATATGTTACCCTATGCTGATAATGTAGTTGACAGATTTTTTTGCAGCACAGAAACCTTTAGTAATGATAAGAGTAAGAAAATATATACATGAGTAGTTTTCTCTTAGAAGATATAATTTCCACTCCCACCCAGATCTGCAACATATTTTTTTCCTATGTCAGACCCTGCTGAAGTGCATAATTGCTTTTACATTTAATTTTATTCATTTTAAAAATTAAATTTAAAATTTTTTCAGTGTTCCAGAATTCATTGTTTATGCACCACACCCAGTGCTCCATGCAAAACGTGCCCTCCTTAATACCCACCACCAGGCTCACCCCTCCCCAAACCCCTCAGTTTGTTTCTCCAAGTCCACAGTCTCTCATGGTTTGTCTCTCCCTCCAATTCCCCCCAACTCCCTTCTCCTCTCCATCTCCCAATGCTTTTACATTTTAAATACTTTTCTCTTGCAAGTGCTCAGAGTGATTTTTAAAAATTATATTGTGTAACTGATGACGTTGATGGGAAGCCCTCAGCAGCCCATCAAAATAATACCTCTTAAGGGTAAACAAATGGTCTACTTCTATTCACAATATGGTCCTCCAGATTGGGCGAATGCTTTGGAAGACCAATAAACAAATCAGTAGCTTGTGAAAACACGAGGACATCTAGTAGTTTCGGCTGGTAATTTTTGTGGCTTTTAGTTGTAGTAATTTTTGCAGTTTATGCATTCTGGTCAATTGACTGACATCTGTCGTATCCAGAATGTGCATTTGAAGAACCCTCATATACCACCACGTTGAAGAAGAGGAGAGAATTCGAGGTCAACTTTAGAATCAGAGAGGAACTTGGCTAAGACCCTGAACCCATGAACGCATTCTTTTTTTTTTTTAAAGATTTTATTTATTTATTTGACAGATCATAAGTAGGCAGAGAGGCAGGCAGAGAGAGAGAGGGAAGCAGGCTCCCTGCTGAGCAGAGAGCCTGACGTGGGGCTCGATCCCAGGACCCTGAGATCATGACCCGAGCCGAAGGCAGAGGCTTTAACCCACTTAGCCACCCAGGCGCCCCCCATGAACGCATTCTTATTTATCTTAAATGGTGAGTTCCATTCTGTGTTGCATGTGAAAACCAATGAACTTGACCGAGGCAAGAGCAGAATGTGTTGTCGACCCAATCTGTACCCGAGGGCCTTTCCTGGTTCTGTTTATCAGGCTGGAAAAGCCATACAGCAGAGCAGCCCAATAGACAGTACTTATGGGATGGATCCTACTCTCTCACCTGGATGAGAAGACATGAAAAAATAGAGATTCAGTGCGAAGGAAGGAACCTGGGGGTGGGATGAAGTATCCTGAGTG